AATGCATAGAAGCGTCTGGTGTAAATCAGGTGGCATGTGCCGAGTGTTTTGTCAGGTCAGGGATTTCTTTCCCAAGCCTCGATCACGACTCTGGGACGATGGGGTGTGGCAGCCACGGACAGCTTCGGCTGAAATTAAGCCCTCTCGTCTGGTGTTACGCGTGTGTCAGGTGTGATTTTTAAATCCTTTATATTAAGTTCACTTGCTTGCGCGATTACGACCGTGCAAATCTATCGGTAGGTTTTTTAACCCACTTCCCGTGATCCAATCGAGCTGACATTTTGCACACAGACTCGTTGTGCGTGACAATTTATTTTCGTGAAATTTTTTTTCCAAAATTTTCCACTTTTTAGGAAAAAAAAAACCGTCATATTTAATTTAAAATACCAATGTGATAAAAATGAAACTCTTACTCAAGAAAAACAGAAATGAATAATAAAATAAAACCGATGCCACGCATATAAAGGATTTATAGTGAAAAACTTTGTTTTTACGGGTTCATTTTTCTGGAGCTCAGCCACGGACAGCTTCGGCTGTAATGAAGCCCTCTCGTCTGGTGTTACGCGTGTGTCAGGTGTGATTTTAAAATTAAAGATATTTAGTTAATCGTTATTCCGCTTGTTAAGTGTAACTACATGCCTTGGGTGTACATTGCGTGTAAACGTGATACAAATTTAGCCTATTTCCTGCTGTATGCAATTACGGTACTCAAATAAATTAGCATAAAATCTGGCTTGTTCAAATATTAAAGCCCCCACCACACCCTCCTGTTAACACCAAATACTGGAAGATATTTTGAGCAAAACGTCCGTACCCAGTTGCTGGTACCGGTACTGTACCGTATTGCAGGAAACTGCACAGGTTTGACAATAGCCCCCGTGCTGACGAATATAAAATATAGGAACCTGAGTCTGATCTACAGTTGGGAAAGGTGGGGACCCGAGAGAGAGAGTACAGGGCAAGCAAAAGGTTGGGAAGGACTGCTCCCAGTAAAAAGAAACATGCCGACGTTCACACATGGTTGGAACTGTTGGCCCAACGTTCCACGTTGAGTCTTAGCCCGATTTGACCCAGTAACTTGGTGATTGTGCAGTCCTCTTTTTCCCCCAGCGATGCCAAGAGTGTAAACAGTGGAGCTGACGCAATTTCGCTTCTCACACAAGGCAGTTCTCACTTATTTCAGACCTGTCCCACGTTTTTCTCAGCGTTCCCAGGCTCGCCGCGCCAACAGGGATCGTCCCAGGGGCATTTTCCAAGGTTAGTTTAGCTCCTTTACAAAAACACGCCATCACAAACGGCAACCAACAACTCCCACCCTGTCTCCAAGCTCTCACTACACCAGTGTACAGTAATAGTATCTTGCAGCGTAGCAACATATCCACGTGATATCACTGCAGCGCAGTGGTGTGCCGTGTGTCGTTTTTGTGCAAGACTGGAGTTTCAGGGAAAGAGACAACACGTGTATTATTATTATTACTCTTTGGTTCTTTCGGTAAAGTCACGTAGATAGAAAATTAATAGATTACGACGTTTCGATCGCAGTGGTGCACAGGGGCAAATGGCAAACACTCAACACATTTGTCAATAACACAACCTTGAACGAAAAAGTATGACATATATAAATAGGTGACGTTTCGGGCAATGGACTTTCTTCATAACACACAGATGCCAGAGAGATCTGACCAGAGAGGCTTGTCATCTCTATGTACAATGAAGGGCCATTACGAACATCATTGTCATCATCATCATCATTGCCATCTCTCTGGGGACAGTAAACATAGCGCTGTCTGGATGAACATCGCCTGTTGTATTCAGGGATCACTGGTCTTTGCCATATGAATATGAACTTTCCAGCTCTGGCATTCGATTGCCCAACCCAATTTGAAAGCAATACAATGCTATTTAGACTGTGTGTGTGTGAGCACAAGTCAATTACTGCACCACACTGCCACCTTGCGAAAGGCACGACGCAGAAGATCCCTGGCTTTGATCTTCCACGAAGCACATGGTCCACCCCGAACCGCATGCCATCCACTGCACAAACCATGGCAGATGATGATACCTGATGCACAAATGTAAACTTTAAAAACTCTCCAGTGTGCGACTGTTGGTCATCCAGAATGAACCATAACGTAGTTATTATGACGCAATGCCCGGTCCATAAATACGAGGGAGACATCAGAGCGATGCGGGCCGCCGCTCCTCACACGCTTGCCTGTAAATGTCGTGGATTTCGTCTTCAACACACAAGCGGTGTGTGCTGAACTAGTAACGAATTGGCACGTTTTGTTTACATGGCAAACCTTTACTAATTGGCCGTGGCGGGTGGTGGCGGGTTTAACGACATATTTAAACTTGACGCGATCTAACCCAACAAAACCTCTTTTTTAAATCCTTTATATTAAGTTCACTTGCTTGCTTGCTTGCGCGCTTACGACCGTGCAAATCTTTCGGTCGTTTTTTTTAACCCACTTCCCGTGATCCAATCGAGCTGACATTTTGCACACAGACTCGTTGTGCGTGACAATTTATTTTCGTGAAAATTTTTTTCCCAAATTTTCCACTTTTTAGGAAAATTTTTTTTCATATTTTATTTAAAATACCAATGTGATAAAAATGAAACTCTTACTCAAGAAAAACAGAAATGAATAATAAAATAAAACCGATGCCGCGCATATAAAGGATTTATAGCGAAAAACTTTGTTTTTACGGGTTAATTTTTTGACGGTTTGTCTGGCTTGACCCCATGAATGTGAAATTGTGAGCTGCCTGCTCTGGCATCTCCATCGGCCGTACGAAACAAGACTGCCACCTGCTGGCACGGTGCACATTTCTCTCCGAGTCGAAGTGGTTTTGCTCATCAAGTGAAGATTGACGCGGGTTGCTCATCTTCCGCTTACAGCCCTGAGACAGTGGTGGACATTCCACATTTCTATGGCGCGGGCAAGTCTATCCATTGGACACATTTTGGTAAAGCTTGCGTTGGAAGTGCACAAGCACAATTGTGCTTTTAGATATAAATGACTGTTCTTAGCAGTACTTTTCTAATTATTATTTATGGGTTTGCATGTTAATAGCTACGAGGTAAATATTGATAGGCCAATTTAAAAACTGGTCATTAGTAGCACATTTTAAAATTGTATTCTCATCATGTCCCATAGCGAATAAGCGCTGTCTTCAACTATTAGTATTATCCACTAACATCTCTCTGCCTATGCGCTATGAAGAAGGGCCATTCATTGCCCGTAACGTCGGATCCTGTATTATAGATATTGTTGTTCCTTGTTTGTCGAGTCTGTTTGTGTGTGTTTATGTGTGAGTGCTTGCCTCCACGCCCTCCGGCTGCCACGGGAGGAGGCACAAAGTCCGGGTGTGGCTGTCCATTAGGGGGGCCCTCTTATCGCACACCACACCAGTCATCTCTCCCCATTTCAGCCACATCCAGACCACGATATGCAATGTACATGTCGGTGATTTAACTCAAGTAAAAATGTCTTCGTGTCGATGCTCAATACGTGTGCTGCCTGATTCAGGACACTCGCGGACTATTTTTTGCGACCTTTCCACTGGAACATCCGAGCCGAGCCAGTGTGGGGCCGTCACGGCACGGCCGGTTTTCTACTGGCTATTAGCATAAACCGAGCTGCAACTAAACCGTGATGCGCCGCCGGCTTCATAACACTTTGGGGGCCAAGCAGGTCCAGCGGCGTTGCTAAGGAAGTGTTCATTGTGTGATGTAAGTCGGTACGTTTTGATAGCAACCGCCGTTCCGCACTAAGTGGTGGCGACGTCACCACGGCGCATGTGCCAGGCTATCTGCACAGTGGCGAGATGTTAACTACCTCGCCTGGTATGCAGGTCGTGGGTTCGATCCCGACCCTGACGCCTGTATATTTGGAGTGTGCATGTCTCTCTACCCGTGGTCGCGTGGATTTTTGTCCGGGTCCTCTGGTTTTTCCTTCCACATTCAGGATCAACACGCCTTTAGAGTATTTGGCTGGTATACATTTCCACGTGATAAGCCACTTCGTTGAGCGATAATTTGTGATTTGCTAGGTCGCTTCTGAAAAAAAAGAGCTATATAGCTCAGTGGGGCCTTATATGGTAAAATAAAAAGTTTATAGTTTAGTAATAGAACGGGGCTTCACTTGAACATCCCCTTTTTTTCCACTGGCACACTCGAGCCAAGCCAGCGGGGAGCCCCTCGCAGCACCATGCGATGTTTCCACCCCCCCTCCCCCCGACTGGCGATTTTGCCAAGCCGAGCCAGCACCGGGTGGTGATTGGCTGGGACTGGCTCGGGGCCAAGCAGCGCCAGGGGAGGGGCTGATATAACGCGTCCACAACACGTCAGTCAGTACGCCGTGAAGGACAAGGCATCACCTATACATCGCGAGTGAGGTCGGGAGAACGCTGCGCCTTGTGTAGGCGGGTCGGGCCGCTTCGGCAAGCCCCGGTGCGGCTCTGGTGTGCAGTGGAAAAAGCGGTCCAGCGTAGTCGTCTGCAAGTTGAGCGACGTGATGGATCTTTTATTTTGTTTTATGAAAACACCGCGCGCATTGTTAATGTGAGGATATGCAACTGCGTCCACCTGCGTAGAGTTTATGGAATGAGGCTGCAGGAACGGGGCCTGCACTACTAATTTAGGCGACTCCACACAGGGTTCAATCCACCCCTGGTTTATGCAGCAGCTGGAGTCAGGATTTGTTTCGTTAATTAAAAAAGTTAAGCTTTTGAAAAGTAAAAAGTATATGATAAATCCGTAAAACAAATGTTTATATATTTTGGGATGTAAAATAAAAGTCTCTCAGAATATATTTTAATATTTTACATCGCCACATCTTAAAACGCAAGTGTAAATGTTTACAATTTTAAAATGATAAAATCCACAAATTAGTCATATTTTGTAAAATGTTATGCAATTACATCCCTTTAATAAGATATGATTATAACATTCAAAAGGAACGCACACTCACATGATAAAAGCAAATCGGCCGAACTGAAATTCAAAACACAACCATATATTTCCTTTTAAAACATCTTTTATATGTTTCCATTAGCACCAGTGTATCAGTTGAAACATTGCAATTTATTTCTAAAATACAATCAAAATAACACCTTAATGAGCTACAGAACTTATATTATAGCGCAATATGGCTTTGCAGTGCAGTCTCTAAGCAAACTGCACTCACAGAAGCTTACTAATACATTAAAAAAAACCATGACATTTTGACCTGTGTTAAATAATATATATTTTAAAATGAATGTCAGAGGTCAAGAAGCATGCCATGTCACCTCTGAGTAGAAATGTGTACAAAAACGATTTAGCAGTGTAGGTGTAATGGTTAGAAGCTTAGACCACCCTGGTAAACCATGGCAATGTTGAGCCATGTGGTTGAAACCGTTGTAGAGCCAAGGTTGGCCCAACAACCTTCCATGCTTACTTAGGACTTGTCCTTTGAAAAGCCTCAGCTGAAGTTCAACAGTGCATCACTCTTGCATGCAATTTTGTTTCGGTCTAACTTATACCGTCCAACATCGCATGGCACACGTTACAACATTTACAATTTGCGGTTCTTGCTTGCTTTTTGATTGACAGCACCCTGTACTGCAGTGACTTGTTATTTAGCCACCTATATAATTATGTCTTTTTTGCGTTATTAACATAAGTTCATACAGTATAGGCCCAATGACAAAAACATCAGCACCCCCCCCCCCCGCCATTATTTCTTAGATGTCTCGGCTGAAATGGCTTAGTCGATAAATCAACGCAAAATATCGAGACATGGGACTCGGGTCTACTTGAGATTATTCAGGCTGTGGGAAATAATACGGGGGGAAAAAAACAACCAATAATTATATTTCAAATAACAAAATGGATGTGACTTCAGATTGAAAACGCAAAGTCGCATTTACAGCAACACAAATAGGTGTGCACACCTTGGCACGGAAACACTTTAGCTGCCATTATCTTCACAGCAGCAGCAGCGGTGGCGGCGGCGTTAACCCCGAGCAGCGCTGTCAATCAACCGCGGACCATCCCCTCTCACTCCCACGAGTCGCTGAGATGTTACGTGCGACAACCCCGCCACCCTCTCCAATCCCACCAGTGTTGTAATCCCGTGACAATCATAAACGGACCCGGTTCATGAGGCTGCCAAATATCTCTGTGAGGCTCCCAAATATCTCTGTGAGGCTCAAGGGAGACACGTGGTGAGAAGCACCGACACCCCCACGCCCCCGTCCCTCCATCAGATCTGCCCACCTTTCCAGTGAGCCAGGCTCACTCAACAACTATCCTCAACCCACCACGAGTGGCTCGCTCTGACACTACTGCCCATAGGCCCTGGCCTAACTCTTGCCATCCTTGTCCACTACTTGGGTGTAGCCCCATCCCTTTCCTTGTATGATGAGTCAAGCGGGAAAACAGAACGTTTCATACCGAGACGAAATACTTATTTTTGCAAGTGCTTCGGTATACCGGGAGAGCTCTTCTGAAACTAGAGCTTCCTCGGCCAAACAACAGGTTACTTTTGGGTAGCTTTGCGAGCATGAATCTGCATGTCGGAATTGTTGTGAGCAATAGTAGTATCAACTGAACATCGTTTAACTTCAACCTTTGCACTTCAACTGGACAATGCGCATGGGGGAGTAAGTATGGTGGAAATGTATGCAACCTGTCAGCTTGCTATTGTTATTAAGAGGCATCATCTATAACAGGGATGGCCAAACCTCTTGACCCTACGATCAATACCTTCACATAGCCATGAGCCACAGTAGCAGATGGCATGAAACTAAACAAATGTTTTTTTTTATTTTACTAGGTAAGGCCCACTGAGCAATATAGCTTTTTCAGAAGCGACCTGGCCACAAATGATAGCTCAACGAAGTGGCTCATCACATGGAAATTTATATCAGCCAAATACTCCAAACGCATGATTCTAAATGGAAGAAACCACGCGACCACGGGGAGAACACCGCCAACTCCAAATACACAGCAGGCGTCAGGGTCGGGATCAAACCCAAGACCCCCTGCATACCAGGCGAGGGAATTAACATCTCGCCACCGCGGCCGGTTCATTTGTGTCAACTGGCCGTGGGGCAAGTGCCCCATGTCAGCTCTGCCTCTGCAGATGTTTAGTTTTTCTGCTTAAAGTAACGTTACGTTCAAGAGTCAGACGTGGTTAGCCGCGTCTCTTACCAAGCCACAAACGGACCTGGCGAGAGCCGCACGTGACTAGGGAACCCACGGTTTGGCCACCCCACATCTATGAGACGCCACTCGGTTTGCTTGACATCACTCCGGCCGATGCGTGAAAGAAACAGCGAGTGGTGTGCGAGTTGCCAAAAGAAGATCGTTTCAGGTATAATGAAAGTTGATTCCATGCACGTGAAGGTGAATGCGAACCTAAATTGTTGTGAGCCGCATCGCAAGCGTGAACTAAAAACTATACAAGTGATATCTCAACAAACATACATTTCATTAAAAGACCAGCTTTAAAACGCAACTTGTATCTTAGAAAGGGTCAATCGGAGTGCGGAGCACTCTCCGTCGACCAATATAAAATCAGCGCCACGATCGGACCACCAAAAATGTGAGTTGGAAAACGGCGATGATTGATCAATTCACTGGCGGTCGCAGAAGGTGGGCGACTCAGCCTCCTCAATGTCGATAGATCTTTGGGCCACTGATGGCATCCTTAACAATGACACATCCTTTAGCAACGTAAAGCTTACACAGCGAAGATAGATTCCTCGAGCAACATATGACCTGCACAACGCCGACGGGCGAAGGTCCCAAAAAGTAAGGGGACACTTTAACCTCTCGCCGGTGCTTTTTGGTAAAGATTGTGGGCTGAATGGGGTGTAATTTTCTACTCGAGGGCGAACGTATCACGTGATCAAAGATGGTGCTTCCCTTGCTCACATGCACATTCGAGGGGCAGTGAGCTCTGATCGTTTCTCGTTGTCCTGAGTGTGCAGAGACGAGCAGACACTTGCCGAGGAACAAAGCAAGAATATGGCCACAGCCTTGCAAACAGATGGAACGGCTGCAGTTTGCGATGTAAACATCACAGCAAAAGACGTGTTGCACGAACAATGACACGTCAATTTTTTAACCAATTGTACATTGCGCGAGGTTACCCTAACGAGCTAAGTGACTTCAAGCGAATAACGACAAAGTCACCGGACGCTCTTCATGTGTGACATACTTTGTTCGCGCTCGCTACTTACTCTTGCAAACCACTTTTGTTTGAGATCAATGAGTTGAGAAAAGGTCTTTTACATCGTTGTAGGTTACCACGTGGAATTAAATTGTATCGTAGTTATTTTACGCTGGCAAGATTCGTACGACATGATCATTATTCGCCAATGACTCTCACGTGTGATATAATTTCACACATTTGTAAATGACCTCACGTACCCCCTGGGACATTGCCACGTGTACCCCCGGTTGAGAACCACCGATGTAAGGTGACCCCGCGTGGCACATTAAGCCCCAGGGCCTGGTGTCTTTCCAGGCCCCCAGGAACCTGTGGGTGGCCCTGGCGGTGTGCCGTGGTTTTATAGATGGGACTGTACCACTTTAGCGCAAAAGAGATGGACAAGTGGTCAATTTCTTTGGGGAAAGGGGTTGTTGATTTTAAAGACCGTTGCCTCTTAAGTCAATCAGAGTGCAAAAGAGAATACGTCCCCTGCAAAAGGACGTATAACTCGGTGCAGAAGAGCCATGCCACAATGGCATAGGTGATTAGGTCTTAAATTACAGAATGTGGCGATATGATGATGGTCCACTCTGATCGGCCAACGTGACCTGTGCGTACGAGGGATGAGTTTTAGATGTCGGCAAAATGATGTCACAATACGGACGGTTTTGGTGCGGAAAAGCGTGGAAGTGAAATCGCTTCATGTGACGTCACACATTCTGATCAATATTTCGGAGCGATGTTCGATTTTTGGACAAGTCAGATTAATCCCCAAAAAATTGGGAACACATCCCTCGCACATACTCGTATACATTGTATTCGTAGCATCGCACCTTTACACCGTCACCCGCTTTAATTTTGGATCGAGGCTGCTTTCACTTATAAATAACGAGGTTAAGCGCTGGAAATATAAGCATGCAGGGACATCTTCCCAGCATTATGTTAGAGGCATATGCTACGGAAATGTTCACGGGAAAAATACAAAAGATAAGGAGCACGAACAGCCCTTCACCATGACAACAACGTTGCCGCCACAGAGACCGTATTTCAAATGGCACCATATGAATCGAATTAGAATCTTCAGAGACGATCAAATAAGAGGAAAAATAAAGAGATCCAGGACTGGATGAATCGATCAGAGGGTGATGTAGAATATGGCAATCTGCTGTAGTCACCAATGAGAGTGTTTTACATCGTTATAAAAAGTATCGTTTTCGTGTGTTGTATTTTAGACAGTCTATGAGGGAGCGAGCTCAACACGTAGGCCTTCGCGATGTAAATGTTGTCGTGGGTTTTATTTTTATTCTTTTATTATTTCCCTTCTACGTGACTTTACCGAAAGAACCAAGAAGATGAATCCCTGCAATCACGAAAGCTTTAAATCGAAATTTTAGCGGTGTGGTGTGCTAGTAACGAATTGGCACACGTTTTGTTTAGGTGACGAACCCTCTTACTAATTGGCCGTGTCGGGTGGTGGCGTGTTTAACGACACACATATATTTACGTGATCTAACCCCCCCCCCCAAAAAAACCCTCTATTATGGATACTAAACAAAACTTGGCCTTTCTTAAATCCGGGCGCGCTGTAACAAACCGTTGGTCTAAATTTTGTGCTTAAGTTGAATGAGGCAACTTAATTAACAGAAGTAACAGACGCAACTGAATCAACAGCAGCAATTGAAGCAACTGCAGCACGACGCCTCTGCCAACTCTGCCTGTGGACGGCGACACAGAAACGCAAAGTGAAAGTTGCACGAGCTTGCGGGGCAAATCGGGCTCTCTACATCAGATGTCGCAAACGGGTTTTGATTCCTTACCCGTACCCGGCCGCACCAGTATCGCAAACGGGTACCCGTACCCGTACCCGGCCGGGTACGGGTAGCCGGGTATCGGGTAGGGTACGGGTATCGGGTACCCGGTTGCGACCTCTGCTCTACATCCCGTCATCAAAGCCCCTTTTTTTACCCACCGTAGTGTATAGTGTACGCATATTTATAATTAAAAAAACAATCACACGAATTGTTGTTTTTAGCAGAAAATTAAACTGGGCACAACACAAATTGCAACTTGGTAGATAAAGTCGCCGACCTGCTTTGCGACTATCACACTTTTTATTTTTTGCGCAGTGCCCCGACCTTAATGTGAGCCATGAGATCGAATCCCATCTGAGAAGTGCAGCCCATCATCCCCCTCCCGCGGTCAGTAAAATAGATACCACGTTGTGGGCAGTCGCAATACCGTGACATGCCGGTGTGAACTGGCCAGCAGGCGAACGGCATGTGGTCCAGCGATGACACGGGCTGCGTGTCGCATCTTGACGAAAAGCACTAACAGATTTCCAAGGGCACATTTGATAAAAATGATAAGAAATGAATGCTCAAATGTTTCCGTTGTCGTGTATAATTATTGCATTCATAATTTAATAGATTTTTCATAGTTAATGTTATTATTGTTCGGAAACAAGGTGGCAATACGTGTTTAGCGCTAATTAGAAACAAGCCACTGTATTGGTTAATATTCAAATGGTGATTTAATATAGTTTTTTTTTTTATCAAGCACCTCGTGGATTTAAATAGCACGTGTGCCATTTAACAGTAAACTCGAGGGCGAAAATTGACACCCAATAGCCCAGGGAGCACTTTCAATCTTGTGGTGCCTCCTGAACGAATCAGACTCGCCGTTCTAGGGACCAGCAACTGGCACAACACAGGCGATATCATCCTGGCGAAACATCAGCACACAAGATCACCGGGGGCGAAAATACCGCAGCTGCCAAGCTGTCTCCCGCCTTGAAAATCCACAAAGTAACGTGGGTTGTGGGAACATGGGTGCAGGGAGGGTATCTGCCCCCCACCCACTTTTGAACAAGCGGAGTCTGATTCTGTTGCCCCCCTCACGGTACAACCTTCACGAGTCCTCGATTACTCGACATAAGGTGCCCATGGCTACCTGCCCCCACGACCTCCGGATCTGTTCCACGCGCCTTGCAAGAAGACGAGTGATAATACATCTATTACGGTTGGGCCATAGCCAATAAGCAGACTGCAGTTGGCATCCGCGATCTGTTGGGGGTTATGGGTTCGGGCCGCATAGCGCCGTGGGGAGTAAATACGTTTCGCTTGGGCGTGCGGTGTGCGAGTCGATCTCAATCTCGCACGTAATACTGCCGCGACAGCAGCAACGCCTGGCGCACGGGTGCTCCGACTGCGTCAGCCGCATCGTATATCACGCGTCGTCTCCGCGCGACGTCAACTGCCAGCGCGCGGAGCGAAACGTCGGACGTCGCGAGCGAACGAAACGTGGCGGCACTAACCGAAAAGACGTCGGAGGGCGCGACCTCAAGCGCTCGCGCGATCGAATAACCGACAGAGGTGACAAAACAACCTCCCTTGAAATTGCCGTAGAAGTCGCCTTATCTGCCATCCCTCTTAGCTAAAAAACCCTCGTGAAGGCAGAGGCCATGACATCCGCGATCTCTCCCCGATATCCGTGGACGGAGGATGAGAGAAAGACTTCCTCGTCGCGAGGTCTACTCCACTTATCCGCGATTCCTCTTGTCGCACGAAGCCATCCCTCCCCCCCCCCCACAATATTACCGTGGAGGGGGGGGCAGGGTTTGCGATGGTGCGCTTTTATTTAAACACCAGCGACCGCCCTCGCTCCATCGCGACGTCAACCTTCGTAGCCGGCGTTTTTAAACGAAAGTGCGAAATCTGTCTTCCTGACCCCGCGCGACCTCCATCGAGACGCGAGCCTCCCCCCCCCCCCCCCGTGGTAATTCCCGGCTGCATCGCTTGCACAATAAAACATACAAACTCTGCGTCCGGATGCAATCGCGTTTTAATACTATGTCAAAAGAGCACGCGACAATTGGATCCCCGCTAATTAAAAAATATAGTTACATTTATTCGGCTTCGTCCCCGACAATATATTTTTCACTCATCCATAATTTCCCCCCCCCCGTATTTCGCTGTGTTTTTTCATTGAAGGTGGCGGTCAACGTGATGTCCCAGGTCGCACTGCGGCGCTCGCCGCGGGCTCGACACAGTTCACGCGATCCGGAAGCACCCACATATATATTTTTTCTCTCTCTCTCTCTGTCTGTCTTCTCCGTGATTTTGTCCGTCGTTAATTTAAATTAGTCGCCTCTCGTCATGACATTTTCTTCGACGCCTCCGCTTCAAGCGGGGGGGGAGGGGGGGATGGGAGGATTAGGGCAGGGGGTGGGGGGCAAGGCTTAGGGCCTCTCGATCTCGCCCGCGTTGAAGCATCCCTGCGGCAGGGCGTCGCGGATCTCCTCCAGGTTGCGGATGTCGGCGAGCGCCTGCTCCACGCTCGCGTCGTAGCCCTGCAGCGCCGCCGACTGCGACGCCACCGCGTCCTCCAGGCGCTTCAGCCGCGGCTCTAGCTCCCCGCCGCCCGCCAGCGCCCGTTCCGCCTCCGCGTACTTGCGCTCCAGATCCTGCAGCCGCCCCAGGTCTACGTCCTCCAGGGAACCTGCCGGGCGCACACACGAAGGTTCGACCCAGGTTTAGGCTTAACAGGCTTGTGGGGGCAAGTGTTGGGAGCGAGTAGCACGTACGAAGGCCGCCGCGTACATACACGTGCGTATGTTCAACTTCTTTCGCGCCGTACGTAGCTGACCGTGCTAATCGTAGGCGCAGGAGAAGGACGGCAAATTAACCACAAAAAGCAGTTCTAAAGAAGTGAGTTTTCGATCTAGATTTAAAAGTGCATGGGGTAGGTACGGCACACGAAGGGGTCGGTGGCCGTTGTACCTGCAACTATTTCTGTTACCGCTGTTGCTGTAATTTCCTCTGTCGCTGCTGCAACTGCTGCTGCGGCTGTTACTGCTGCTGCCACTGTCGGTCTAACTTCCTCTATCGCTGTTACTGCTGCTGCTGCTACTGTGATGCTGCTGCTGCTCACCCAAGTCACGCAGGAGCTGCTCGATCTGCTCCAGGGCTCCGCTGACGGAGCTCTTGGCTCTCCTCGCCTTGTCCTCGGCCTCCTGTGCCGCCTCAGCCGCCTGAGCAACAACAACAACAACAAGATGGTGCTGTTGAACACTGGCCGAGTGGCAGCAGAGGACAGAGGTCAGAACGCTGAGCCGGCACTGTTGAAATCCTAGGTGTGATTCCAAGTTTCAGCTATCTGTTATTAAAACCAGCTTATCCAGTTTCGTGAGTTAAAATGAAGTGTATTTTTATTTTACCAGGTAAGGCCCACTGAGATATGTTTTTCAGAAGCGATCTGCCCACAAATGATAGCTCAACGAAGTGGCTTATCATCATGTGGAAATGTATAGCAGCCAAATACTCAAAAGGCATGTTTCTAAACGTGGAGTGAAAAACCGGAGGATCTGGAAAATAATTCACGTGACCACGAAAACTCCAAATATACAGGCGTTAGGCTCAGGATCGAACCCACGACCTCCTGTATACCAGGCGAGGGAGTTAACATCTCGCTACCACGAGTTGATGTTCTTGCCCAAGTAACCAATGACTGCACACAAATAAAAAAAAAACATAACATCCCATCAAATTACGTTTTCACTTTATTTGGCTGACTTCAGTGCTCTGCGAGGAACATTAAAGGTTTGTTCCTCGCGCGGGTTCAAAGGTGACTGAGGCGACTTCAGATGTAGTTCTGCCACGTCACCTTCTGGGGGCATGCTCTGTGACACAGGGCGGATGATGCATTGCTCGCAGAGAGCCGTCACAAATGAATATTCCACCGCTAGAAAGATTGTAATGAAACTGAAGGGGTGAGGGGGAAAAGTAAAAGTGATAGCACTGAAATAATAATAATAATACTACTACTACCCGGACAATCGCAAATAACTCAAGCATCAAGTGTCATTAGCAAAGCACTGCAGCTGACGACCAAATCACTCGGGAATGTTCGCCAACTCTCGGAAGCCAAGCAAGGGGACATGAGCTTGGATAGCGCACGGGATGGGCGGTGGGCAGCAGAGGGCAGTGCGACAACATCCACCGTTGCACCACGCTTCTATGGCCCTCACGTTTACCGCTCCCTGCTTTTGTCAAACAGGCGGCGACCGTTGCGGTGAAGTATGGTCACGTGACCTCCACGACCTGCACTGGCATAGCGAGGCCCTCGTCCCGCGGCCGATTGAAAAATGAGCTCTCCAGTTAAGAGGTAAAAGCCTCCGCCCCCCCCACCCTGCCCCCCTCCCTCCATTTAAGCAACACACTTTACCCCTTTGTCATAACGCGCCCGGTTTATGGGAGTTCACGGGCCCATTCCCCCTTCGTGTCTCCCCCCCCCCACCTCCGAATAAATGGTGCAGCAGTTGCGTCGTGAATGCGCCGCTCGAACGGCGGAGTCGGAGCGAACGAGTCTGGCGGCGCGCTGAAAGGGGCCTCGCGCTTTATTCAATAAAAAAAACTAACATTTTAAAGGTAAAGGAGCGTTCCTGCAATGGCTGGCTCACGCCATCGCTGGCAGAAGCGCCTCCATGAGAGGGGAGCTCTGCGGAGACGGCCCCTTCAGAGGGGATTTGGCCGGTTTTCGCACGGCTGGCCAGACGGGGGTTTGGGAGAGGTGGGAGTCGCCACACTTGACCCCATCACACTTGACGACCTGCCAATCGCTATGTGGATGGCAGTGCCGATAGGATGGGGGGGAGGGGTGGGGGTGGAAAGGGAGGGTTGGGGGGGGCGGTGATTTAGTTCACCACCGCACCTGAGAAGATTGAATTGACCCGGTGATCTCGGGATCGCAAGCACGGTCGGTGCACCGCCGGCGGTGATGGCAACACCGGGGGTAACGTGACGCGCATCGGCTGCACCGGCTAGGGGGGGCGGCGCTCACCATGTTGGCGAGGTCCATGTCCCGCGCGGCGTCCTGCTGCTTGCGCGCCAGCTCAGCCTCGGCGCCAGCCAGGCCGGCGAGGAGCCCGGCGGCGCCCTCGGCCAGGCCCGCCGCATCCCCATATGCATTCTCCACCTCCGTCTTCAGGCCGCCCGCCCGCTGCGGTGAGACAGGGCCCCAGCGGACAAGGCGGTTAAAACTGTAGTAAGCACATTTTTTTGTTTGACCAGTTAAGAAGGTCTCATTGAGCTATGTCAGCTCTTTTTCAGAAGCGACCTGGCTATCACGAATGATAGCTCTACGAAGTGGCTTATCGTCACGTGGAAATGTCCAGCAGGCTAATACCCTAAAGGCGTGACGTTGATTCTAAATGTGGAGTGGAAAAACCAAAGGACCCGGAGAAAAATCCACGCGACCACGGGGAGAACACGCAAACTCCAAATATACAGCAGCAGGCGTCAGGGTCGGGATCGAACCCACGACCTCCTGTACACCAGGTGAGGTAGTTAACATCTCGGCACCGGCCACGCGACGGGAGTTGCTGCACGCCGGCGCCGGATCACGGTCATTGGTGCCCATCTTGCTCTCCACCGCCACGAGCCAATGGTGGAATTAAGGCCCCAGTACAAGGTGCCCATGCCTCTATGCGATGTCAGTAAGGTATTTGGTTCACGTTGTGTATATGTGTGTTTCGCGTTGGGAAGGCGTGTGATGCGTGTTTTGCCGCTGCAACAGATAGCCGACGTTCCCCACGCGCGTCCAAAGTTTCTCCTGCACGGTATCCACGCCGCAGCTTGCGACCTCCTCGCAAAACCGCCCGCACACAAGCGTATATCTATATTTACACACGAACAGCGAACGACGGCACGAAGCGACTTCTCGCTGCCGTGTCCGTGACACCCACCCGCCCGCCCCCCCTACCTCCTGGGCGCGCCGCGCGATCTCCTCGGCGTCCTGCGCCATCGCGCGCGCGTCGCGGGCGTCGTTGGCGGCGTTGCCCAGCGCCTCCTCGGCCTGCCGCGTCTTTGCGTTGGCGCTCTCGATCTGCGCCTGCACGGCCGGCACGCGGCGCAGCGCCTCCTCCGCCGCCGTCTTGTTGTCGCTCACGCGCTTGTCAAAGTCTGCGGGGGGGCCGTGCGTGCGTTAGGCAGGGTGGGTGGCGGGGTCAAGTCACAGCAACGGTGGCAGTCGCAGCAGCAGTAACAGCAGCAGCAGTAACAGCAGCAGCAGTAACAACAGCAGTAACAGCAACAGCATTAACAACAGCAGCAGCAGCAACAGCAGCAGCAACAGCAGCAGTAACAGCAGCAAACAGCAGCAGCAATAACAGCAGCAGCAACATCAGCAGCAGTAACAGCAGCAGCAGTAACAAAAGCAGCAGCAGCAACAGCAGTAACAGCAGCAGCAGTAACAGCCGCAGCAGGAACAGCTGCAGCAGGAACAGCTGCAGCAGGAACAGCAGCAGCAGTAACAGCAGCAGTAACAGCTGTAGCGTGTACTGGCTTGCCAACAGAAGGTGGTGCAGTAATACGTTGGGGGGGGGGGGGGGGGGGAGGAATGTGTTAAAAAATAAAGTATATAAAAGTGAGTATTTTTACTGCAGTTGTTTATCCAGGAAAGGCATGCCGAGTCTGTTCTACAGGACGAATCGTGCAAAATTTCAACAGTACGGAGGCGACGCTGCTGTTGTGTGTGATCCCAAGTCAGTGATTTTTTGGTAACTTTTCAGCATCGTGATGTTGTAGCCAATATCAGTTACATTGTGTGTGTTTTTTACAGTTATGGGAGCAAACCACAGAACCTGTTAGAACCGGTGAAGAACAGGGGCAGAACATCTAGACTATATGCACGCACACACTCACTCCCACTCTGCTGCACAGGGTGACGCCACACAGACTCCACGCAGAAAGGTGCCCAAGTCGCGGGCATCAAACCCTCGCCCTTCTTGCTGTGAGGCAAGAAGTGCCACCCCGTCATCAAACTGCCACCCACCCCGCCACCCACCCTGCCATCCACTGTGCCACCCACCCACCGTGCCACCCACCCTGCCACTGTGCATTGAAACTTGCCTCTCAGGATGTTGAGGGTGTCGGTGGCCTCCTTGAGAGTGGCTTTCCCTTTCCCTTCGGCCTCCTTGGCCGAGTTGAACGCGGCGTTTGCGCGCGCCAACAGCTGATCCAGAACCTGGGTGGGGGTTAGGGGAGGGGGGGTGGACAGAGACGATTTATCGATTTTTCTCAAAATTACTTCTCGACATTTCACCAACGATTGAAGCCCAGGCAACAGCTTTCTGAAACTAGCGATGCTGCTTATAGCGCGATGAATAAAGCCCTGGGCGGTCAGTTGCATGAATCATCTTCAGCGAAAATCTCTCGCGTCGTTTACATCGACGTAGAATGGAAACTGAGCGACATTGTCTCTTAAAGTTGTTTGACACAATCGGCCGCTTGGGGAGAAGTCCCGCGAGACATCTTCCCCGGACTACTATTTCACCAGAATCGGCATCAACCGGGCGAGATTGTCACCAGCGTGGTTTCATGCAACTGCCCGCCGAAACTAAAAACCACAAAAAACCCAGAAGCCCCAGCGTCAGGAGGGCAAACGTCGAAGTTGAGAGATGCGGAGGTTGACAGGAAACACCTCCCCTGCCGTCTCACCGAAGCCAAAAGATTCCCACCACCACCATAAGCAAACGGCGCGGGGGGTTCTGTCCCGAAGCGTCCAGGAGAGCGCTTGAGCAAGGCCGGGCAAGGATAGAGGCCCACGAGCAGGCCGCTCTCACAACAACAACAACAATACCTCCTTGGCAGCGTTCCCCTGCCGCAAGAGCCTCTGAGCCTCCGTCTGTGTCGGCTGCGACGCCGCAGAGGCCGACTCAAACTTTCTCGTCGAGGAATCTAGCCTTGTCAGATAATCCTCGATTCTCCTCTGCAGCCTATTCCTGTCCCGCTGAGATATTTTAATTGGGGTGTTTTTATTATGATTTTTCGTATAAAGATTTGGGGGAGGTGGGGTTTGGGGCGGGTGCCCGTGAGAATATGAGACACAAGGGATAGGGCACACGGGACGCGTGGGCACACAGACGCACACACAGACACGCACAGACGCAGACATGCACACACACACACGCGCGGGTTAGTGGGCCCGAGCCAAGTGAGCGCCAGGCACCTGCTGCTCCGTGTTGCCGCGCTGCATCAGCCGCTTGGCCTCGTCGACGCGGGGACGCAGGTCGTCCTGCAGCTCGCGGAACTGGCCCTGCTGCTCGGACACTTTGCCGTCGAGCTCCGCGGCGCGACCCTTAACCCGGTCGGCGCCGGCCTACGAGGCGGCGGGCCGCAAGAGAACACGGCGGATAAATACACGAGAGTGGGTCGGGGCGAACCGAGCGGAGGGAGGAGAGAGAGAGAGACAGTGAGAGGTTTCAGTTTGCGAAACGTAAAGCGGTGCTTTCACTGCGGCAGTCGCGCTGAACAATATCTGATGCAATGTTTTACGTCTCATTCGTGCAAATTGCACCTCACGATCGCCGATGAACCGACGGTGGCAGCCAGAGCCGGTGAGCCGGTGCCAACGGTTGGCCCTAGCTCTGCAATCATCGATATATTAAGATGTCATCGGTCAATTGATGAGTGTTTATACGTGGGAGGAATCCGGGCCACCCAGAGAAAACCCAAGTGTGCGAGGGGGCAATGCTTTACCCCATACAAAAGGGACAGATGGAGATTAGTTTGCACTTTGCCGCACCGCCTTCTCCTGGCGGGCCAAAGCACGGCTGGCTTCTCTTCGATGGTCACGGGAAGGGAGTATCGCAACAGTTGTACGGTGATCCACCGACCCTCGCCGCCGCCGCTGCCTCCACGGCACTGGACCACAGGCAGCCACGTGCGGCGGCGTAGCCCCCGCACCTCCGATTGGCACGGTTGGTGAACGTAAGGCGCGAAATAAGTTCGACGCACGCACGCACGTACGTACGACACGACCGCGCTCTACGATAGCTGACGTACGTACGTACGCCGCCCGACGCGAATGGCGAGGCCTGGTGTGCGGGGCTGGGGGGGGGTGCGGTGGGGGGAACCTGGAGAGCGTCGATGTCCACGTTGGGCACAGACGTGGAGGCGTTGGCGTAGATCTGCAGGGCCTTGTCGCCGGCCGCCTTGGCCTCCTTGTGCACGGCGTCTGCCAGCGCCTCGAGCTGCATGCCCTGCGTCTTAGCCGCGCCGACCCTGCGCGCGAGCGACGGCACAGCGGCGCAGGAGCACACCGCGGCGTTACTCCGCGTTGCCGTGCGTTGGCAGGGCTGGCCGCCCGTCCGGCGAGATATTCGTAGGACGGTCGTCGTCCGTTTCGGGGCCAGCTGCTGCTGCTGCTGCTACTGTCCGAGAAATCTGTAAGTCTTCTACGGCGGCATTAAGCCTTTACCATTGCGATGACGTCCACGTGTGTTTTCTTCGGAACGTAACCCGAAGAAAACTAAAATACAACAACTTTATCGGTACCGAGGCTCGCATAAGGCCATGGCAGGGGGGGGGGGCATGTGGCAAAGTTTGGCGCCAGCTATCGAAGAGCGCGGTCGTGTCGCTACAGTTCTCTATGGTGAGTAACAATGTCTTTAAAAACAACGACGCTGCTACGCCTCTGCATATTTATTTACATTATAGTTTTTTTTTACGATTGAGAACCAAAGGGGTGCAAGGCTGCAGTAAAGGCTAAGAACCACTGGTGCAACGGGTGCGACCTTATAACGGATTCATTCGGCAACCAATGCAGCTTCGCGAGCACTCGACCGGCACGGTCAGAGCACCTCCTCCTGCTCCCCCCCCCCACACCGCTCCTGCGCGCTCCGTGTTGGAGATCTCGCGCCAGCGGCAGCACCGACCTGCGCGTGAGCTCGCTGATCTGGCCGCCCATGTCGTTCTCCTCGGCCAGCGTCTTGCGCAGCAGGTTGTAGGCTGCCGTGGACGTGTCGTTGGCCAGGTTTGCGGTCCGTTCGATGTCGTCCGCCGCCTGCTTGTGGCTGCACGTCCGCGAAAACAACAACAGCAGCAACAACAACAACAGCTGTTGATCGCCAGGTACCTTGCTCTCAACCACTACTACGCTGCAGGTCACAACAACCACTGTCACTCAACTACTCACTCACTCACCAGCTCACTCACCACACTGCCGGTCACAATAACACTCTCACTCATCCACTCACTCACCAGCTCACTCACTCACCACACTGCAGGTCACAACAACACTCTCACTCATCCACTCACTCACCAGCTCACTCACTCACCACACTGCAGGTCACAACAACACTCTCACTAATCCACTCACTCACCAGCTCACTCACCCACCACACTGCAGGTCACAACAACACTCTCACTCATCAACTCACTCACCAGCTCACTCACTCACCACACTGCAGGTCACAACAACACTCTCACTCATCCACTCACTCACCAGCTCACTCACTCACCACACTCCAGGTCACAACAACACTCTCACTCATCCACTCACTCACCAGCTCACTCACTCACCACACTGCAGGTCACAACAACACTCTCACTCATCCACTCACTCACCAGCTCACTCACTCACCACACTCCAGGTCACAACAACACTCTCACTCATCCACTCACTCACCAGCTCACTCACTCACCACACTGCAGGTCACAACAACACTCTCACTCATCCACTCACTCACCAGCTCACTTACTCACCGCATCTGAAAGCGCACGATGCGGTAACCGTCTTTGATCGACGGCTGATATCCCATCCTAGGACCCATCATTACGCCAAAAATGCAACCAGGCGACAGGCCACTTCGTATGTAAGAATGTGTGTCGAACTTCTTTCGCACCCTACGTAGCCAACCGTGCTAGCCGGAGGTGCGGTGGAAGGACAACAAACTAAACACAAAAAGCCACCGTGAAGAAATGAGTCTCCAATCCATGGCCTGCAAGCAGCAGCAGCAGCACGTGTGAAACGAAACAGTGCATCGACCCGTGCCAGGTGGACAACGAAACTGGGAAGAGCCTCCGTGGGTGCCACCCACAGCCTTGGGGGGCTTCACTGAAGGTGGACGGCTTCTAGCCTCGTGGGTGTCATCAGTACTGCCGTCCGTGCCGCCTCGCACCTGTCCGCCAGACGCCTCGCTTCTTCTGCCAGAACTGTGAAGTTGTTGGGCCCGGTCACGTTTTTCCCATCGATGTTCTGCAAATAAAGCGCAATAAAAAAAAAGACGTCACTGCGGACGTGTTCATTAAACACACGCAGTATTGTGACTCGCATGGCTACATTAACACCGCCGCCCCCACTCTGGTCTTCGCACCTGATAGTGCGCACAGTGATGACATCGCCTTTACCCCTCTCTGTTTGAGACAAAAACGCAGGGGGAATTCTCCACGATCCTCGCTGTCGCCTGACGATGTTGCCGGCGGCGTGAGTGCATGGGGTTGAGCCAACGCAAATCGGGCAGCGGTGTTTATAATAACAATGAAGTGACCACGTGTTCGCGAAACGACGTGAAGCGTTCAAAGATTCCTACGTTGAAAGGTGCCTGGATGGCTCCGAGAGCTCATAGTGGCTGTAGTCATACAACCGAGCTGGCATAAGTCAGATTCAAGTAATGGGTTTCAGCTGCCTGTTGTAGATTTCAAAAACAACAGTTTCTCAAGTGCAGCAGGGTTTATGGTCTCTCAGCTCAATCACCAATGACTGTGAGAGTAAAAGTAATGAGGTCTCGAGAATTCAAAGTGACGTCTGCTGCTCAAATTAACATTGGAGGTGCAGGTGCTCATCTCCCGCTGACAGCCCTGCAGAGGCAGTTGCGGGGAATTCTACATTTCTTAGACGTTATGTTTTATTTTCATCCTTTTATTATTTCCCTTCTACGTGACTTTACCGAAAGAACCAAGAAGAGGAGTGGCAAAGTAACGGCAAGGTAAGAAAATCAACTTCAAACTCGGGGGGAGCATCTCCCACGGCGGCGTATCGCCGCTGCTCCTATGGTCCGTTGTAGTTGTGTGTGTGGGGGGGTGGGGGGGCATTAGGGGGGCGCTTGCGACGTACGACGGAGGCGATGGCGGCCTTGGCCCGCTCCAGCTCGTGCTGCGCTCGCTCCAGCATGCGCTGCGTGTCTCCGGCGCGCCGCCCGGCCCGCGCTGCCACCCCGTCCGTCTCGCCCACCGTGTCGCCCATCTTCTGCAGGCGGCCCTTCTGCGACGCCAACGTGCGCTCCAGCTCATCCAGCTGGGACTGCAGGCCCTGGTCCGACACTGGTGGAGGTACGGGAGGCACGAGGGTGGAATAAGCTCAACTATAAACAATGTTTTATATTCCATAATACAGGGGGTGGGGGGTTCGATTGAAAGCTTTCGTGACTGCAGGGATTCATCTTCTTGGTTCTTTCGGTAAAGTCATGTAGAAGGGAAATAATAAAATAATAAAAATAAAACATAATTAAATTATTCTCACGACGTTTCGGCCACAACGCAAGCAGCCGTCCTCAGGTGGAGAGCAAGTCTGCCGGAAAGACAGCGTCATTTAGACGCTGTCTTTCCGACAGACCTGTTCTTTTGTTGGGTTAGATCGCGTAAATATATAAATGTGTCGTTAAACCCGCCACCACCCGACACTTAGTAAGGTTTGTCACGTAAACAGAACGTGCCAATTCGTCACTAGTACAGCACACCGGTGTGTTGGAGAGCAAAGCCACAACATTTACAATCTGAGTACGACGTTTCGCAAGTAATTACAACCAGCTTCATCAGGCGACAGCCAGATGCGTGGAGAAATCCTCCGGGTTTAACGACACATTTATATATTTACGCGATCTAACCCAAAAAAAACCTGTATTATGGATGATATTGGTCACGAAAGTCTCTGTGTTAAATGTTTTATAGTGCCAAAAAAGGCCCACTGAGCTATTTCGCTCTTTTTCAGAAGCGATCTGCGCCACAAATGACAGCTCAACGAAGTGGCTTATCGTCGTGTGGAAATGTACAGCAGCCAAAAAATGTGAAGGTAAAAACCGGAGGACCCGGAGAAAGATCCACGTGACAACGGGGTGAACACGCAAACTCCAAATGATAGAAGAGTCAGGGTCAGGATCGAACTCACGACCTCCTGTATACCAGGTGAGGTAGTTAACATCTTGCCACTGCGGCGCCCTTAGATAATATAATCAATGTGCATGTATGGATTTTGTTGCCTTACAACGTCCGTTAGTTAGCACCACCCCTAGTCTGCAGCGTGAGTGGAGCATGAGGCTGGAACATTTTAACCTGAGGACGAAATTGTGACATTCGCAATTGCTTTGATGGGGACACCGGTGAAAGGCTTTTCGAAACCACGGAAGATTGTCCAGGCCAAGCCAAGACGTTTGGTAACTTTCCCGTACAACTACCTGGACTGAAAGGCCATAAGGCTGCTTATTATTTCGTATCAATTTCCAAAAACGTGCCATTCCAGGGGGGGGGGGGGTGGGCACCACTGCGAGCGAGGCGCGAGTGCGACGCGGAGACGGGGCCGTACTCTGCGTGTGCTGTGCGTCTCTCAGCAGCTGTTCGACGGCGCTGGCCGCCTGCTGCAGCTTCATCTCGAAGTGGCGGTCCGTGCCGGTGCCCGGGTCGGAGGCGATGCGCTCGAAGGCTTGCTCCAGCTCACGCAGGCGCTCGCGCAGATCCTGAGCCTGCGCCGGGACGAGGGTGGGGGGGGGCCGAGGGAGAGACGCGGCATTGGGATTGTCGTACGATATCAGAAGAAAAGTTTTGTACGTGTGCGTTGAACTTCTTTTGCGCCGTACGTATCCAATCGTGCTAATCAGAGGTGCGGGGGAAGGACAACAAACTAAGCACAGAAAGCAGTTCGACAAAAAATTGGTTTCAATATATCGGAAGGAAGAGCGTTCCAGAACTGCCCACGGGAAGCGGATATCCCGGAAGCTACCTGAGATACCTTGAAGTGACATTTCTTGTCAACATTTCTTGTCAACGGACAGCAGAGGGCAGCACTTTCCCATTTGCTCTGCACGTGAGGTCCACATCGCCTGACGGTCAGAATCCGATATTTTAATTCTCAAGAGTTAGAACACTGCAAAATTAAGTGCGTAACCAAATCGGATGCGACGAGTTTTTTTTTTGCAGCCATTTTGTCGAGAAGAACATGAACTCACTACCACCCGGTCAAGAACCCAGTTTCATCGCAGCCAATGACAACGTCAGGCACCCAGAAGCCATCATTTGCACCGCTCCTGGCCCTGCTTGGCCCAAAAGCCAAATTTAGATGTCTTGTTAGGCCCGTGTGTATGTACGTGTGTATGCATGTATGTGTCAAAGCGGGTGCGATGTATAAAACATCGCCACTCAGGAGGCAAAACCGGCCAGGCGTGGTGCTGGCCACCCAACTCCTCGTGTGCCATTCCGGCCTTCATAGGTGCGGCTACTTGCTACGAACAGCACTTGCCCCAACAGTCTGTTACAGGCTACACGGGGGATCTTTGCCTATTTATGCTGAACTTCTTTCGCACCGTACGTAGCCAACCCTGCTAATCGGAGGCCCCCGTGTATCACCGTTCCAGCCCGGCTTGGCGCACGAGTTGATGGGAAACCGCCCGTAGCGGCGAGTCTCCCCGGCACATCGGCTCGGTCGTGCGGTGGAAAAAAGCGTCAGAGGCATCGGTGGCGTCACCGTGCGGCGGCCCACCTTGTCGCGCACGAGCCGGTAGCACGGCGGGCACTCCTGGCAGCCCGGGTTGGTGCGGTTGTAGTGGTAGTTCTCGCGGCACTGGTCGCAGCGTGCGCCCGTCACGCCCTCGCGGCACGGGCAGCTCCCGTCCGCCTGGTCGCACTGCATCGACTTGGAGCCCGACGTGTCGCAGTCACACGCTGCGCGTGGCGGGGCGAGGGGGCGGGGGGGGGGGGACACAGTGAGTGACGTCACAGGCTGTGTGTGAGTGACGAGTGAGTGACGTGCCAGGCTGTGTATGTGTGAGTGATGAGTGAGTGACGTGCCAGGCTGTGTGAGTGATGAGTGAGTGAGTGACGTTACAGGCTGTGTGTGTGATGAGTGAGTGACATCACAGGCTGTGTGTGTGACGAGTGAGTGACGTCACAGGCTGTGTGTGAATGACGAGCGAGTGACGTCACAGGCTGTGTGTGTGAGTGACGAGTGAGTGACGTCACAGGCTGCCTGTGTGAGCAATGAGGGGACCTACGCTTGCAGCCTTCGAGAGAGAATCCAAAATGGCTGCCCTCGCACCGATCACAGCAGCGGCCGGAGGTGCCGGGGTGGCAGTCGCACTGTCCCGTGACCGGGTCACAGCCGCCCGTCGACGAGCCCACGGGGTCGCAGTTACACCTGCACGCACACGCACACACACACGCGCGTTTTTATATAAAAATTAAAAAAATACAAAGACCCCCCCCCCGTATAGCCTTAACAGACTGTTGGGGAAAGTGCTGTTAGAGAGCACCTAAGAAGACCGCAACGGCACACGAGGGAGTGGGTGACCAGCACCACGCCCGGCGACCTTTGTCTCTCTCGTGGCGATGTTTACACACCGCACCAGGCTGAGTCGACCTAGGGGAGGCCTAGGACCGGTTCAGATAATCCTCACTGGTGTTGGCCGTGAGCGGGAATCGAACCCGGGTCGCTAACCGCTACACTACCCGCTCTCCACATATCAATATAGAAATCCATGCACACACATTCGCCCATTTAGCCTAAAACAGACATATATAGGATCTCGTTCTATAGCTATACACATGCACACACATTCATTCAAAGACAAAAATCACCCGAATAGTCTTGTATGTAGGTTAGCGAGCACCTAGGAAGGCCGGCAGGGCACACGAGGGGATGGGTGGGCAGCACCACACCTGGCCGCCTTTGTCTCCGCCATGCTGATGTTTATACACCGTAGGTACTCATAGAAGGGTGATTCGTCTAAGGGGAGGCCCAGGACCGTTTAAAATAGTCACCGCTGTTATCAGTGACGCTCCCCCATACGTGCATTTGTACGCACGCGGACGAACGCTCACACACACAGATATAGCCCGCTTTGCAACCCGAGATTTGACGAGATCGGACGCGCTCCAGGTGATTTTCTCTGTAGGGTGGATGTACGAATCACTGGATAATTGATCGGGAGGACGAGCCAGGCGGACGAACAAATAAACCGGACGGTAGATAAGTCCAAGTAGGAAGCGGGGGGAGAGCAAGAGTCGAGAAACAGCTGCAGGGCAGCAGCAGCAACAGCAGCAACGCAGCGGTGCATCGTGGGAAGGTGGCTGCCACTCGCCTCTCGCAGCCGTTGCCGTCGGGGGACACGTAGTAGCCGGGCAGGCACTGGCCGCAGTCGCGGCCGGTCACGTGTGGTCGACACTCGCACTGGCCTGTCACCACGTTGCAGCCGCCGGGGTTGCCCAGCGTGCCCCACCGGGAGCACGCGCACGCTGCGCACACGCATGACGGCACATGGGGGGGACGTGTGAGTTACGCGTACGCCGCGTGTGCGCGCGCATGGCTGTGTGTGACGCGCGCATGTCACGTGTGTACAGGTTTGTGTTGTGCGTGCGTGTGCTCATCACGTGAACCCACGTCGGCACTTGTCCCCGTCGCCCGGCGCCAGTGCGTTGCCGTAGTGGCCGTCGCGGCAACGGTCGCAGAAGAAGCCGGCCGTGTTGCGCGTGCACTTGAGGCACTCGCCCGTGCGCCGGTCGCAGTTGCCCACCGCGTTGGGGTCCACGTTGCCGTTGCACTCGCACTGGCGGCACGGCCTCACCGCGGCGCCCTCCGCCCCCACGGTGTCGCCGAAGTAGCCATCGCTGCACAGCTCGCAGCGCTTGCCTAGCGGTGGTGGCGGTGATGGGTGGTGGAAGGCGGACAGGTGAGACGCACGGAGTCGCTCGCACTGTGGGCTCACCGCATTGGGTTCAGGTTCAAGTTCAAGTTCATTTCAAGTTCATTTATTAGGTATAGCCCTGTGAGCCATTCGGCTATTGAATCGGGTGCAACCGCAACAAACAAAAAAAACATGAACAAAAAACATCTTAAAGTAAATATGTAACTGAGCGCAAACAGAATATCCAAGAAAAGACAGTAAAATATTGTAGACAAAAACACCGTACACCAACGCTGTGTGCAAAAATCCCAGTGGGATGCAAGTCAAACAACCGAGCGAACGCATTATGAGGTCGCAATCATCACGAATGAACCACGATACCTCGCTGATCTCGTCGAGGGGCATGAAACATCATCACGTGAACCCCGGCGGTCATCCTTGCAGCGGCGGCTTTTGGCTAACTACCAAACGAATACGGCGGTCACCGCATCGCACGGCGCTTTCAGATGCGCTTCTGCTGCCGTCTGGAACGCTCTTCCTTCTGATATTAGAAAGCCACTGAAGCTTTGTGCACTTTTAACTCATCTAGATTGAAAACTCGGATTCCGACCGTCAGGCAATGGACCTCACGCTCACGTGCAGAGCGAATGGGAAAGTGCTGCCTTCTGCTGTCAGTTGACAAGAAATGTTGACGAGAAATGTCACTTTAAGGTATCTCAGGTAGCTTCCGGGATATCCGCTTCCCGTGGACATTTCTCCAACACCGAGGGTTGCACTCCCACCCTGTGAGAGATCCTAATTGCCTACTAGGTCTCGTGACCGTGACGCCGATCGTGCAATGGGGATAAAATTGGGAGAAACTCTTAACAGTAACAAAAACAACTCACACACTGGCCGAACATTTGCAGCCAGGGTGGAGGGTGGTTGAGGGGGGGGTGACGCCAGCACGCAAATGTGCTGGCCGACACGCCCAGCCACGTACCAGCCAGGCCGACAAAAGATGCCCACTGCTTCACGCTCTTTCAGATGCACTTCTGTGGCCGTCTGGAACGCTCTTCCTTCCGATGTATTTAAAGCTCATTTCTGTCAAACCACTCTTAGTGTTTAGTTTGTTGTCCTTCCCAGGCATCTCCGATTAGCAAGCTTGGCTACGTACGTTGCAAAAGAAGTTCAACGTACACGTACGCACGCAGGTGAACGTTGGTACGCGCTCGCTAACGGCACCTGCCCCGACAGCGTTCAAGGCTACGCGGGAGGGATCTTTGTCTTAGTGCTTACCCGTGAGCCCCTGGGGGCAGCGCGTGCACGTGACCTCGCCGGACACGAGGGCGCACGTGGAGCCCTGGGGGCAGGGGCACGCGCGGCAGTCGTCGGCGCGGCCGCGCGTCGCGTCGCCGTAGAAACCGGCGGCGCACTGCTCGCAGCGACGCCCCGCTGTGTTGTGCTGGCACTCGCACGCACCTACACGCAGCGGCACACGCAGCAGCACACGCACACACACGGACGTGGAACACACGCGCAACAGCACAACACACACACGCGCAGCACACAGGAAGCACGCGGACACACACGGCATGGCGCGCAGCGCAACAAAGACACACGTTTGTTATTTTCTTTGAACCTATCAACGTGACTTTACCGAAAGACCCAATACGTGGAACACACACAAGCCGCACACACACACGCACTCGTGGTGTGGTGCTAGCACACACACACGTGGATATAACTCAAAATGTACACGCATACGCAGAAACCGCACATGAGCAACACGCGGACAGAACACACACGCAGGGCACATGCACACATCACAGCAATCGCCCATTGAGCCATACAGACAGCCGGACGTCCACCGTGCTAACACTGACCCTGACCTTAACCCTGACCCTAACCATGACCTTAACCCTGACCTTAACCCTGTCCCTGACTGGGCCACCGCCACGAAGACGCTGTGTGCCACAGGCACAGCCTGCCGTGGTTTTGCGGCAAGGGGCCTGGGTGTTGCTGTGTGCGATCCCAATCAAATGATCTGCCGGGAATGCTTAAAATGTGGATACATTTGAACTGTTGACGCCGGCACACGATGGCTTACTCTTTGCGCATGTCCGCCCAGAAGCAGGACAGGACGTGGTTGATACAGACACACACCGCAGGATTAACCAGGGCGGCCGCGAGGCTCGAAGCGCCGTCAACAATCTGCGAGAACCGGCGAACGCGGTACCGCTCGGCCACCACGGAAAGAATAAGCTTCCCCGACCGTGCACTCTGCGGGTCTGGATGGACTTTCACGAAAAGCAGCCCGGCGATTAATGATGCAAGCATTCCCCGATTCGCTCATTACTCAGCGGTCCAGTCACTCCCTTGTCACTCTACTGTCGCTACCACCGTGGTTACCGTTCCCGTGAACTCTCTGATTCCTCCACCTGATTCGAGGACTCGGTCTATTTACAGACACCGGCTGTTTCGTCGCATCCACCACCACACTGTGTTCAACCACCACCGCCACACTGCACGCTACTACAATGCTTTCTATCACTCACTCACCCACCCACTCGCTCACTCACTCACTCACCCATCCACTCACTCACCACGCCGCAGGTCACCTCACTTCTCTTTCTGCTTCTTCCCTCGCACTGCTCCGCTATGGAATTCCCTCCTCCCATCGTCGTCTCTATTCCCTAAGCCCTTATAACAAAAACCTTGCCCAACTTAACCAACGTGTTACACTTTTACCAAGAGGCATGAACTGATTTCGTCAGAACTGCTTTTTGTGTTTAGTCTGTTGCCCTTCCCCCCGCACCTCCGATTAGCACGGTTGGCTACGTACGGTGCGAAAAAAGTTCAACCTGTGTACTTTTAAAACTTTGATCGTGCTGTTTGTTACTGGCCGCTTTACATTTTGGGCCTTTGAAAATAAAAGTGAAAACCCTGCTGAGAGCTGTCGCGTTTTGGGCCGTAGTGGCGGCAGGAACATCGCGGTGGCAGTAGTGACGGTGGTGGTGGTGTCGGTGGTGACAGTGGTGACAGTGGTGGAATTGGTGACGGTGGTGGTAGTGGTGACGGTGGTGGCAGTGGTGACGGCGGTGCCCGTTGTGACGGTGATGACGGCGGCGATGACGGCGGCGGCGTTGGCACGCACCGGTCTCAGGGTGGCACGAGCCGCTGTGGCCGTGGCAGCTGCAGGGGACGCAGGTGGCAAGGGGCCCCCCACCGGGGGGGTCGCGCCGGTGGCCCGGGGCGCACGCCTCGCAGCTCAGGCCGCGGTAGCCCGGCGGGCACGAGCACTGCTCCACCCAGCCCGCCGCCGCGGCGCCGTAGCCCGGCCGCGCCGTCACCAGACGCACCTCGCCCAGCCGGCCCGTGCCTGCGGCCGGGCAGAGATGGTTGGGTGGGGGGGTGGGAAGGGGTGGGGGAAGCGGGGGTGGGGACAGAGAGACAGGAGGAGGGGCACGAATACACATGTTGTCAAAACTGCTCATAATTAAATCATAATGAGTATTTTATTATACATTCGGTATTTGCGTTATCGTTCGGCAAGGCTTCCGCGCCGAGACAGAGCAATCAACCCGCCTTCCGCAGGACGTCGTGAGTTAAATGCCAGGTAAGATTAATCTTATTAATATATATTATTGATAGTATAACCCGGCAGGGGCCGACGTTGCCACGCGCAACTCCAACGCAGACATTTGCGGTTGAATTTTTGCTAATTCAATGAAAGAATTAGGACCGTGACGCCGGGCACACGACTGCCCCGCTTGTGTTGAATGACGTCAGGGGATCTATTAGCGTCCACTGTGAAGCGGGTGGCGAGCACATTATTTTTCTTACGGTGAATGCACCTGCAGCAATAACCAGGGCGGCATGCCAGGGGCTTTCAACCGTGAGCCTCTGCAAACAAAGAGGGCAAAACGCACGACCGCTGGGCCGTGTTCACCACACAACAGAGAGTCCCGCACGTGTCCTGTGTTTGTTGTGTGGCTCATGGAGAAGAGTGCTCCCTCGTGGCGTTCTATCGCAGTCCTCCAGGGACCTCTCCCGTGGCCTTGGTGGCTACGAATATTATTCAAAAGGAAAAGGAAGTGAGACTTAGGTGGTTTGGCCATGTGTTGAGAATAGAGAAAGAAGATGTAATTGGAAGGGCTATGGAGTCTATAGATCCGTAAATTCCGACAATGAACCTTAGACTCACACGGAGACCCACAGACTCGCATAGACCCACAGACTTGCATAGACCCACAGACTCACACAGAGGCTCACTGACTCACACAGAGACCCACAGGCTTCCACAAAGACCCATAGACTTACACAGAGACCTACAGACTCACACAAAGACCCATAGACTCACACAAAGACCCACAAACTCACACAGAGACACACAGACTCACACAGAGACCTACATACTCACACAGAGACCCACAGACTCAGACAGACACCCACAGACTCACACAGAGACCCGCAGACTCACACATAGACCCATAGACTTACACAGAGACCCACAGACTCACACATAGACCCATAGACTCACACAGAGACTCACATACTCAGACAGACACCCACAATCTCACACAGAGACCCACAGACTCACACAGAGCCCCAGAGACTCAGAGACCCACAGACTCACACAGAGACCCACAGACTCACACAGAGACTCGCAAACTCACACATAGACCAATAGATTCACACAGAGACCCACATACTCAGGCAGAGACCCACAGACTCACACAGAGACCCAAAGACTCACACAGAGACCCACAGACTCACAGAGTACCAGGGCATTATTCTGTGGGTCTCTGTGTGAGTCTGTGGGTACAAGGAGCAGAGGGAGACTGAGGGTGAGAGGAGAGGATGCGGTGAAACGAGACACGAGGCCGGTGGGTGTGACTGAGGAAGAGGCACAAAAGAGAAGCTCACGGAGAAGGAAAATCTGAGCGGTCAAACATCGGGTGCTTTGTGGAAAATATCGTCGCGGTAGTACGAGAGTTTCGCAGAGCCCTTCCCCCCCAACAATGCAGACCACCCACCAGTGGCCCCGCGGAGCACAATGGATTTCACCAAATCGCTGCTGAGGAAGTCTATTGTTACTACATTTGTACTGCGATGGTTTAAATCTCGAAGCAAAAAAAAAAGGAGCGAGAGCGGAGGCCATGACGTTGCCGCACGCCGAACAGAAGGTGCGGCCGCGTTGTTGTGTTGTTTGTTGTTGTTTGTTGTTGTTATCGTAGCCGTTTTACGCGAGAGATGGGCTCCGATGCACCGGTCTCGAACAACAGGCGGGGCGGGCGGGCGGGGAGGGAGGGGCGGCAAAAAAACACAGACGTGGAAGCACGCGGCCAAGATGATCAACATGGCCGTGTTTTGCCAAAAAAAAAACCCAGACGAAGATGAATATTTATTACCAAGCGAATCGCGACTCCCTCCTGTGAATTGAACATCATCATGAGCCGTCCCCCCTCACAAACCTGCTTTCAATTGTACAGATGATTTGTTGATGCCGCTGCGGCTTCTGAGTTGGCAGTGGCGCACGGGAACAAGAAACGCAGCGACAACAAAAACTGAACGCATTCCTCAATATCACCGCCGTGTGGCCTTAGAAGGAAAAGAATGTACAATAGGTGGTAGTTTTGGCCAATGGCCAATTCTTCGCAGCACATTGATACACGCACGTTGTCAAAATTGCTCACGATAAAATCATAATAATCTCGTGCATTCGCTATTAGCGTCAATCTCATGGCGGCAGTCTGCGGGAGCCTCACAGGAGGGAGCGATGTTGCCCTGTGAGGCATCCCAATCGAGTATTTTGCACTCTACACTTGTTACAAATTTGGCAAATGATGAGCACGGCACATTGACGTGTGCTATGAAGAAGGGGCCATCGGCCCCAAAAACATCGCTCATTGTGTACGTTTCCTTTTGACGCCGCACAGCGTTATTGACGAATGCGTCGAGTGTTTTTCGTGCGTGTTCATGCGCCACTGCCAACCCAACACGAGCGGCAGCAGCAGCAGCGTCACCAGATGATTGAATGAAACGATCGGTTGGCCCAGCCGTGGGCGTGCATGTCTCTCCCCGTGCGTGCGAGACTCTCACTCTTGTCGCTGTAGGTGCCGCGGAGCTTGATGGCCGTGAGGTTGGAGAGGAGCTTCCTGAACTCGTTCGCGGGGATCTGCGGCGTCCACGGATACGCAGGGTTCTCGTGCAGCCTAGGCGACACACGGGGAGATCGCGAGTCAGAAACCATGCGCGGGGAGATCGCGAGTCAGAGAGGATTGAAACCTTCAGGGTCACGCAGCAGTGGTGTCACCTCCACCCACGAAATTCAGCAATGCGTCCGCGCTGAGACAGCCGGTGGTAGCAGCTCAAAGCGGTGAGCCCACCTTCAGAAGGACTTCCTGAGTTAAAAGCCAGCTTGGGCAATTGGCAATAATTGCCCGAGCTCTGTGGTTCTATATGTGGATGTTTGGCCAACTGCACTCGTGAGTGTTCTACACATGGGGAATGACACCGCAGTACCCGGGCAAACACCCACACGTGCGGGGGAGGGGGGGGGGTAGTACTCGATCCCTGTACAGATGGAAATTAACCCACTGGCAATACTGCCACAATTCCCTATAGTCAGGAGACGTGGACTGCTACGTCTAACGAGTGTGTGTGTGTATGTTATCCACCAGTGGGGAGCGGTAGTGTAGCGGTTAGCGCTCCGCGCTACGAATCTGGCAGCCCGGGTTCGATTCCCACTCACGGCCAACGCCAGTGACGATTATCTGAACCGATCCTGGGCCTCCCCGAGGTCGACTAAGCCTCAAATGAGTACCTGGTGCGGTGTGTAAACATCGCCACTGGGGAGACAAAGGCGGTCGGGCGTGGTGCTGGCCACCCACCCCCTCGTGTGCCGTGCCGGCCTTCATAGGTGCTAATCACTAACAGCACTTGCCCAAACAGTCCGTTAAGGCTATATGGGAGATCTTTGTTGTTGTTACCCACCAACCCTCACTACCTCCACAGTGTGCAGTGTGTTACAAGTTGACGCGATTGCTATTTTTCTCGTTGACTTAAAGCTTTCGTGACTGCAGGAAATCATACTCTTTGGGTCTTTCGATAAAATCATGTAGATAGAAAAAAATAAAAATCACTACTGCTGTATTTTTTCACCTGAAGACGATTCGTTGTGTTGCGATCGAAACGTCGTGATTTTTAATTATTATTGAATTACTTTTCTATCTACATGACTTTACCGAAAGACCCAAAGAGTATATTTTTGTTGTTGTAAGAAACTCCGGAAAACCGCCCGGATCGGCACCCTCCGTCCTCACGGGTCAACCCATCCACTCACATGCAAGTGTAGGTCTGCTGTTAGAAACTCTGGCAAGCCGGCTGGATCGGCACCCTCCGTCCTCACGGGTCAACCCATCCACTCACACGCAGGTGTAGGTCTGCTGTTAGAAACTCTGGCAAGCCGGCCGGAGCGGCACCCTCCGTCCTCACGGGTCAACCCATCCACTCACACGCAGGTGTAGGTCTGCTGTTAGAAACTCTGGCAGGCCGGCCGGAACGGCACCCTCCGTCCTCACGGGTCAACCCATCCACTCACACGCAGGTGTAGGTCTGCTGTTAGAAACTCTGGCAAGCCGGCCGGAACGGCACCCTCCGTCCTCACGGGTCAACCCATCCACTCACACGCAGGTGTAGGTGTGCTGTTAGAAACTCTGGCAAGCCGGCCGGAACGGCACCCTCCGTCCTCACGGGTCAACCCATCCACTCACACGCAGGTGTAGGTCTGCTGTTAGAAACTCTGGCAAGCCGGCTGGATCGGCACCCTCCGTCCTCACGGGTCAACCCATCCACTCACACGCAGGTGTAGGTCTGCTGTTAGAAACTCCGGCAGTCCGGCCGGATCGGCACCCTCCGTCCTCACGGGTGAACCCATCCACTCACACGCAGGTGTAGGTCTGTTGTTAGAAACTCCGGCAAGCCAGCCGGATCGGCACCCTCCGTCCTCACGGGTGAACCCATCCACTCACACGCAGGTGTAGGTCTGCTGTTAGAAACTCCGGAAGTCCGGCCGGATCGGCACCCTCTGACCTCACGGGTGAACCCATCCACTCACACGCAGGTGTAGGTCTGCTGTTAGAAACTCCGGCAAGCCGGCCGGATCGGCACCCTCCGTCCTCACAGGTCAACCCATCCACTCACACGTAGGTGTAGGTCTGCTGTTAGAAACTCCGGCAAACCGGCCGGATCGGCACCCTCCATCCTCACGGGTGAACCCATCCACTCACACGTAGGTGTAGGTCTGCTGCCCGTCGGTGGGGTAGCGGTTGTTCTGCGCGATGAGCGGCACGGAGACGCGCAGGCCGGAGCCTTCGAGCACCACGTCCTCGGCGGAGAGGCGCACGTCGCGACGGTCCATGCTGAACGCGAAGGAGAGGTTCTGCCCGTAGCTCAGCAGCTGGTTCCCCAGGAACGCGTCTACGGGACAGGGCGAGCGGGTGGGTGGGACGAGACGTCCTCAGACGAAACTTTTAACTGAACTATTTTTAGTCCTACCAGGTATGGCCCAAAGAGCCGTATAGCTCAACGAAGTGGCTTATTGATTAGAATTCAAAGCAGCCAAATGCTCCAAATGCAGGTCGATTCTAAATGTGGAAGGAAAACCTAGAGCACCCGGATAAAAATCCGAACTCCAGATATACAGTTGTCAGGATCGGGATCGAACCCACGACCTCCTTGCATACCAGGCGAGGGAGTTCACATCTCGCCACCGCAGCGCCCCCAGTGTGAGTGGGAACGGTGAACGGAACAGAGGTCACTTGCAGCGATCTCAGAGGTAGCTCTGTGATATCCGCTACTGTGGGCCGCTCCACACCACGACGGGGGGGGGGGGGGGGCGGGGGGTTGCAACCCCTCCCGCCCCCTACTGGACCATCTGTGAAAAAGGGGCGTCTAAAGCTCATCGGATTCCTACAGATTATGAAACGCTCCATCGCACGACGGTGACTCCGATAGCGCAGGTGGGATGTAAAAAAAAAACTGGGGGGGGGGGGAGAGTGGGAAAAAAATCTACAAAAAACAAAGCGAGCGAGGATCGTTGCTTGCCGAAGGCGTCCGGGTCACGGGGGGGGGGGGGGCACTCACTGGGGGCGACGAAGTAGATGGGCAGAGGGTCGGCGGAGGTGACAGTCACCTCTTGGGACGATCCCGACCACTGGACGGGAACCTCGGCGCCGTCGCTGCGCTGAGCCTTCCAGCCGTCCCGCCCTGAGCGACCAACACACACCGTGGGGGGGAGGGGGGCAGGGGGGGCGGGGGGGGGTCAGCACCCGGTGGGCGGTGGGGGGGGGGAAGCCCGATTCCGCCAGGGCAACACGAGCGGCGGATAAAAAAAAAGGGTAAACACGGAGGGACTCTCTCCTCGCGATCTGCGCGCCCGAACGAAATCCGCCGGCTATTCGCGAGCCGCTCCACCCGGAGATGGGGCGGGAGAGCGCCGTGCCGCCCTGACCTGCGTGGAAGGAGGAGGCGACGGTGTGCGCCGCGTAGCCCTGGGCGCCGCTGCACGACGCCGCGTGGCCGAAGCAGAAGCACGCGGAGCAGCCGCTCGGGTTGCGCGCGTCCAGGTGGAAGTGTCCCGGGCGGCACCTGGCGCAGGTGACCGGAGGACAAAGACAAAGTTGGGCTGCGTGTGCCGAGCGTGCTCATCGGATGTGCGGGGGAAAGGCAACAAACTAAACGCAAAAATCAGTTCTGAAAAGTGCATAAAGCTCCGGTGGCTTCCTAAAATCGGAAGGAAGAGCGTTCCAAACGGCCGCAGAAGAGCATCTGACAGGGCACGATGCGGTGGACGGTCACCATGGTGACGATCACCACGTCCCCCCAAAGTGACCGTCAACACGGTGAACATCACCATGGTGACCGTCACCACGGTGAACATCACCATGGTGACCGTCACCACGTCCCAGCTGTGCTGTTAGCGAGCAGCCAGCAAAGGCCGGCACGGCGCACGCCCGGGGACAGTGAGGCCGTCGCCATGCCCGGCCGCCTTTGTCTCCCCGCCCCTACAGGCTTAGTAGACATAGGGGAGGCGCAGGACAGGTTCAGACAACCGCTTCCGTACGTACGTTGCACACATTCAAACGTCCCGATGCTGAACAACTCCCTGTAAATTGTAGTCAACTGGAAATCACGCAACAGCATCAGCATCGCACCCGGCTGCTAGAACTGGACAGGACCACCCCCCCCCCCCCTGCCAAGGTGTCTTGAGATTTAGCGAGGCTTTCCTGGATAAACAAGCTGAGTAGTAATAACAACAATAACATAACACTGTGGTTTTGTGTCCAGTTAGGAGACATCTGGACATGTGGCAGTTCACCAGCATTGGCTCGCGTGGGCCTGACTCCGCCGGTGAGACGCTCAACATCGAAGCCAGCCCAAGAGCTGATGGCATTAGACCAGCGCTGTTGATAGAAATGCACTGCCAGACGAGTACGGCGAGGGAGGCGTTATTCACTTCGTGGGGTGCTCCTTGGCAAAAGCCCTGACCCCCGTGGGTGCGTTCGCTCTGCCGCCCCTTCGTGAATCTCGGGCAGCAAAGGGGACGAGGCAGTCCACAGACATCCAGACTACAGGAGGAAACTCGTTTGGGTCTTCATGCACACCGTTGCCAAAGATGCTTCCATTTCCCCCCCCACCTCCGCACTCTTCCTCGGGGAGCACATTTCACAATGTGGATTACGAACGGGACGCCGAGGCTGACCCCTTAGTTCCACGGAGAGAAAAGCAGAGAAAGACAAACATATCCCCCGCGCACGGAGCCGGCGTAAGAACGCCGGTTGAAGTTCTGTTAGCGAGCGCCTATGAAGTGGCTGGACGTATCCACCACAGCTGCCTGTCGTCTTTGTCTCCCCGCAGTGCTGGCTGATGTTTTTACACACCGCTCCCGGGTTCTTTATTTAAAACCGAGTTGACCGAGGGGTGGACGCGGCACTAAACAATGAAACTAAACTTTTTTTTAATTTTACCAGGAAAAGCTCACTGAGCAGTGTAGCTGTTTTTCAGAAGCGACCTGGCCTCCAACGATAGCTCAACGAAGTGGCTCGTCGTCGTGTGGAAATGTTATAGCAGCCAAATACTCTAAACGCGTGACGGTGATTCTAAATGTGGAGGGGAAAAACTGGAGGACCCGGACAAAAAAGCACGCGATCACCAGCGAGGACGTGCAAACTTCACATATACAAGTCCCCAGGGTCGGAATCGAACCCACGTCCTCCTGGATACGAGGCGAGGGAGTTAACATGTCATGATAGTTAACATCTCGCCAACGTGTTCAAGCGTCACGCCCCACTGATTTATAGCTCTGGCAGGGAATCAAAGTCAGGTAATGGAGGTTCGTAGTGTGGCGTGCAAACCGATGCGCCGCCACTCCCCACACATAGAGACAAAGATTCACCCCGTGTAGCCTGCACAAGCTGTTGGGGCAAGTGCTGTTGACGTGCACTTATTAAGGCCAGTGGTGATGTCTATACACAGCACCAGATACTCGACGAAGGCCGAGTCAAGACCAGTTTGAGATATTCACCATCGATGCTGGTCGTGAGCAGGAATCTATCGCAAAGTGCGCTAACAACCGCTCTCCACACACACACACGGACTCACAAAGGCACGCACATCAACACGCAACGCGCACGCCACTCAGACACACGCACGCAGACGTGCATACACTAGCTCTATTTAATCTTCTAGGTAGAGCACACAACGTTCCAGAATATTTTAACAATGCCATAATGTCTTCTTGGTTCTTTCGGTAAAGTCACGTAGAATGGAAATAATATGATAATAATAAAATAATAAAAATAAAACATAATAATTATTATGTTTTATTTTTATTATTTTATTATTTCCATTCTACGTGACTTTACCGAAAGAACCAAGAAGATGAATCCCTGCAGTCACGAAAGCTTTAAATCGAAATGCCATAATGATTTCCAAAACAATCTCGTTACATTGATACGATTACGGGAATACGTTGCTACAGCACTGCTGAAATACAAATTTGCAGTCACCATCCTCATCATCGTCGTCATGATAAAGCAGCCGAGCGGTGGTGAGAGGTCACGCAGTTGACATATTTCTACAGCTGAAAAGCATTGCCTTTCAAAATCATGTGAAGGGTGACTTTAATCAAATCCAGTATCCAGCGCTGTGTGGCAGAGAGTTCGACAAGAGCCAGTGTGCCCTGCCCAAGGTTGGAACACGTGGTTTAGAGAACAAGCCCCAGGTCAATGACTTCATCCAAACTAAAGGGGCTTGAACGGGATGCGTCACGGTCAAGTGGCACGATGACCGGCGGTCAACAACAACAACGGAGCGTCAGCCAAGGAACGGAACGTGTCCGGGAGAGATAGAGAGAGAACGTCCGCTGGGGAGATGGAGTCGGAGCAATCAGCACCGGTGCATTTGTTGCATCGCAGGATCGCGAGAGGCGCGCTGGCGGATTGTGGAGGCCATCGTGCAGCGGTGGATTGACAATGGCCGTTTGTGTTGGACGGACCCCCTAAGAGGGCGGTGGTCGACGTCCTGAAGCAATGCATTCTGGGTCACTCCAGGCTCAGCATTGGCTCTGCTGCTGTGGTCGTGGCCTGCGCTCCAGTACCACGACGATCACGGATATAATTTACGCACAAGCCAGCCAGGGGCGCAGCCGGGGATGTGAGCCCAACTATACATCTGTGTTTTTTACTCTTTTCGCAGCAGAAGACCTGGCCATGACCCCCTCTCTGCCGAACAGATGGCTGTAATCGCGCGGCTTAACTTCCCAGTCCCCTTCCCCCCCCCCCCCCCCCCGCGGGGTCTGCCTGTTTGGTACATTATCTCTCCTGACTAGAACGTCACAAAGGAAGCTTGACACAGCAGCAGCAGTAGCAGCAGCAGCAGTTCGGCTCCTGCTATGCTATGATAACAACGACAGAAAAACTCAATGCATTCGCCGATAACATTCGCCTTGAAATAAAGCATAACGTCGTTATTACACTGCTGCCCGGCCGGAGGGCCTTGTGGGCTTCTCGCAAACGTAGGGTGTCTTGCTATGTTGCCATCTCCGCGAATTGGATGGAACGCGATGCGATGAATGCATTCGGGAACACATCATTTTAGTTAAACGTGAATTGTATAAAACGCGAGTAAGACAACGGAACTACGTCGCGCGAGGAGCCATAAGCGGTTGCGACGCGGCTGCCTCGGCGTAGCATCGCCGGACGAGGCATCGGGATGCTGCTGGATCCTTCGAGATGCTACCCACGTGCGCATTCGTGTTTTTTGTTCGGCCCCACGCACAGCATCTCCAGGAGCGCAACAACCATCGCGTCGCAGGAGGATGAGACTGCGTCCAACCGCGACCCACAACCTTCTTGCAGCCTGCGGGCGCCGGTCGAGCGAGCGCGGCAAGCAGCGGGGCAAGCTCAACAGAGTGACGGTGGAAGGGAGGCGCGTTTGCGGCGGGCAGAACGAGCGACCACCCATGGACGGCCGCCCGCCCCCCACAACGGACCACGCGGGCGATCTCTCGCACGCGCGGACCGCTGCCAACATGAACACGCTTTCATGCCCCGCGGGAAATGGTACTGCAAGACACTTAATGAACTTGTTATTGTTTGGAGAGGGCCTGGCGGATAATGAGAACTCTGTGGTGAAGGGAGAGGTGTTATGTGTGTGTATGTATGTGGGGAGCGGTAGTTGTAGCGGTTAGCGCTACGTTGCGCTACTAAGCTGGCCACCCGGGTTCGATTCCCGCTCACAGCCACCAGCAGTGAAGATTATTTGAACCGGTCCTGGACCTCCCCCTAGGTCGACTCAGCCTCAAATGAGTACATTGGTGCAGTGTGTAAACATCGCGACGAGGGAGACAAAGGGGGCCGGGCGTGGTGTTGGCCACCCACCCCCTCGTGTGCCGTACCAGCCTCGCTAACAGCACTTGCCCCAACAGTCTGCTGAGGCTATACGGGAGATCTTTGTATTTTGTTTCGGATGTGGGGAGTGGTGGCGCAATGGTTAGCACTCCGTGCTACGAACCCGGCGACCCGAGTTCGATTCCCGCTCACAATCAAAAAGAGTGGCGAATATTTCAACCAGCCTCCTCTAGGTCGACTCAGCCTCAAATGGGTACCTGGTGCGATGTGTAAACATCGCCACTAGGGAGACAAAAGCCGACCACGAGTCTTCCGATTGTCATGGGAGATTGGTGGATGGTTCTGTGTGCGAGTCCAGGTTTAAGCCACTTAATCTGACCGGATGGCTCAGTGGTAGAGCGAGCGGCTTGTCCCGGACAGGGGGCGGTCTCAGTCCATCGTCCTTCGGGGGTGGTCGATACACTGGCCGTGAGAACGTGGAACGTACACTCACCGGTTGCAGTTGTCCCCTTCAACGTTGGGCTTACAGACGCACTGCCCCCCGTCCTGGCAATCGTGGGTGCTCCCAGCGGGGTCACACGCGCAAGGCCTGCGGAACATGCGTGCACAGTCATACATGTCGTACAGTCTGTTCTGGGTGACCACAGTTGCATACTACCGGAGAGTTTTATTTTTATTTTCCCTTTGTGCACCAGGAATCCGCATCTGCCATGCTTTATGCAGTGGATGTGGTTTAGGGTGGACCATGAGCATACTCTTAGGTTTTTTCGGTAAAGTCACGTAGGTAAAAAATAAAAATAGAAATAAAATAATATTGAATGAAAATAAATCAATTAAATCACGACGTTTCGGAGGCAACACAAGTCTCCGTCTTCAGGTGGGACCGTCACTGCTAAATTTACTGTATCAAGAATGGACCATGAGCATTGTGGAAGATCAAACCCAGGGAACGTCTGCGTGAAAGACCCAGCCACCGAGTCCCATAGTCGTAGCCCGTGGCCGTGAGGTCCTCACCTGCATCCGTTGTGGGAGAGTGAGTGGTGCCCGGGCTGGCAGCGATCGCACCTCTGACCCCCGACCCCAGCCTTGCATGCGCACTGCCCGGTGGTGCTGCACTGCCCGCTCAGAGAGCCTGCGGGACGGGGGTGGCACCACGCACACAAAGACAAAGATCCCCCGTGTAGCCTTAACAGACTGTTGGCGAGCAACAACTATGAAGGCACCACAGACACACGCGCACGCACGCACACGCGGATGTACGCACACGCGGATGTACGCACACTCACGCACACACACAGACGAATGTACACACCCACAAATGCACGCACGCACACATGCACGTACATGTACACACACACACACGGAGATGTACACGCGCGCACGGACACAAATACAAACAGGTGCAAACGCGCACAGACACACGGACGCAGCCACACACACACGCATTCAATTTCATTTTCATTTTCGAAGCTGGACAGTCACTGGTAACCGGGCTGAGACCCATGAACTCACAACCACGAAACCCCGGTTTAATCACAGGCAGCCGCCTGGTTTTGAACCCAAGTTCTCAGCGGCGGTGGCACAGAGATCTCTTGACCTCCGAACCACCCAGCCACCCCTTGCAAAAGAATTCCAAGCGCGGCGAGAGAAACGGTGCAAGACGGCTGGGTTGGGCTAAACTTGAACGTCATCATTATCTACTGAAAATGCCTTTTAAGTCAGGACCAATGAAGAACGTGGGATAATTGATGTTTTTTTAATCCTTTCGTCGAGACGCAATCCACGCCTTCATTTGGCTTTGGGTGCAAAGGCGTCTCCGCGTGGACGCCGTGGTGTTTGATGCGCCGTCGCACCTGGCATTTACGACGAATGAAAAATTGCACGGGCTGAGAAAGAGATTGCACGGACGCACAGGCGTGACTCCTGTTATTTCACCGGTTAATAAAGAGGCGTTGGAATTCGTCGGTCCGGTACAAAAGGTGAGTCTCGTTCGTAAGTGTGCGGCGCAGTGACAATGAAAAAAAGAGAGGGAGGGAGAGAGAGAGGCTGTGGTGAAGAGACATGGGCCATGTTAAATTATTTGTACAGCTCTTTGATTCGTGGATTATGAGAATTCAGAGCATGTGGTTCAAAGAGCTCTCAATAGCCGTGTGAAAGAGCGTGGAGCGGGTTTGATCACGACCCCGACGCCTTTATATTTGGAGTTTGATGTCCTCTCCGTGGTCGCGTGGATTTTTTCTCCAGGTCCTCCAGTTTTTTTCCCCTCCACATTTAGAATCAACATGCGTTTAGACTATTTAGATTATTTGGCTGCTATACATTTCAACATGATGGGCCACTTCGTTGAGCTTATCATTTGTGGCCAGGTCACTTCTGAAACAGAAGTTTTATTCTCCGATGATCCAAGTTTCATTCTCCCATGATCCAAGTTTTATTTTCCCATGATCCAAGTTTCATTCTCCCATGATCCAAGTTTCATTCTCCCATGATCCAAGTTTCATTCTCCCATGATCCAAGTTTCATTCTCCCATGATTCAAGTTTCATTCTCCCATGATCCAAGTTTCATTCTCCCATGATCCAAGTTTCATTCTCCCATTATCCAAGTTTCATTCTCCCATTATCCAAGTTTCATTCTCCCATGATCCCATGCTAGAGCATTGCCCCCTCGAATGCGTGGGATTCCCTCCGGGTGCTACGGTCTCCTCCCACACGTATAAACACTCACCATCAATCGGCTGAAAACATCTTAAAATAGAAAAAAACCTGGATAAATAAGTAAAAATAAGGTAAAATTAGGTTCTCAGGGGCATGGAATTTGATGGTCTCAGCACAGACATCATTGACTGCTTAATAATAATAGTAGTAAGAATCTTTATTTAACCTGGAAAGCCTCACATAGCTTCAATACTCTATTGAATAATGTCCACTAAAAATAATAATACTGTAATCATAATTCTGGATGAATGTCTTCCCACACTGATCCAGTCACAGGGAGTATTGCAGGTAGTGTCACAGCACCAGTTCATATATCACTCGCCACTGATGTTAGCTCCTGGCCAGCAATCACACTCAGGTTGCCGCGTTCAAAGCGCAAGTGCGCTAACCACTGCCCCACCGTCCGCTGTTACTCTGGCTAATCCCTCACTGGTGCAGCATGTAGAAAAAAACTAACCGTTAATTATTTTTCATTTTTACCAGGTAATGCCCACTGAGCTATGTAGCTCTTTTTCAGAAGCGACACGGCTACCAACGATAGCTCAACGAAGTGGCTTATCATCGTGTGGAAATGTTATAGCAGCCAAATACTCGAAACGCGTGATGGTGATTCTAAATGTGGAAGGAAAAACCGGAGGACATGGAGCAAAAATCTAAACGACCACGGTGAGAAGATGCAAACTCCAAATATACAGGCGTCGGCTTCGGGATCGAACCAACAACCTCCTGTATAGCAGGCGAGGTAGTTAACATCTCGCCACCATGGCGCCGCAGGAAATCAGAGTAACTGCATTAAAAAAAATCCATGCAACCATGCGGCCTAGTCGCATGAGTGCAGTCAGCCACTAGATCTCCAACGTGTCAGCGTGTGGCTGTGCTCGACACTCGCAGCGCCGGTGGGTGGCGGGTGAATCGAGAATACCGATTTGTGCGATAATCAACAGACACCGTCTTATGGAGAGACTGGGCCCTGACATTGGAAGATGGAATTTCCACCACTGGCTAAAGGCCCTCCCCCCCTCCCACCCAAAGGAGATGAGCCGCACCTGACGCTCGCTTCAGCCGGGAGACACCGACCAGTCTTTCGGAAGGGCCGAACGAACCCCAATTTTGGCATTTCCCCCTCGAATCGTAGCGGATCCGCGGTCGAGGCCACCCATTCCCCACGCGGCCGTGTGTGGACTCGGCAGCGGTGGCGTCAAAGGGCAACGGTCTTCATCCAGCAGCAGATGAAGACTGGCCGGCTGTGGATCTTTCGTCGACAGCGATGACCATTTGCGGTGGTGCAGTGGGACCCGGCCATAACTCTGACATCAGCGGTGTACGGCTCCCTGTCGCCCCATCTTTATCGCCTTCTTCTCTGAGGTGACGTCAATTCAGGCCAAGCAGCCTGTGTGCTGTGATGACTCAACGTCAGTTTGATTAGCTTTATCACGAGTTTTAAACACTCCCCCCAGCCTCCGTCCCCATTTGTAGCTTTTCTTTACGTATATTATTGCAGTTTTTATTTTATTTATTGTGGGTTTATTTTTTTAAAGCTTCTTCTCTCTCCGCTTGTGGGAAAGTGAGTTTGCGAGTGTGTGGGAGTGCCGGCATGTGGCAGCGTACTGAACCGGCGATCCTACTCACGGCCAACATCGTTGGCGAATGCATCTGAACATACTCTTTGGTTCTTTCGGTAAAGTCACGTAGATAGAAAATCAATAGATCACGACGTTTCGATCGCAACGCAAGCAACCGTCATCAGGTGAGACAAACACATAAGGAGAACTCCTACGTCAGCAGAACTCCTGCTGTGATTGTCTCTCCTGATGACGGTTGCTTGTGTTGCGATCGAAACGTCGTGATCTGTTGATTTTCTACCTACGTGACTTTACCGAAAGAACCAAAGAGTATGGATTCCTGCAGTCACGAAAGCTTCAAATCAAGATGTATATATAATATCTTGTGCGCGAGACTGTGTGTGTGTCTGTTACATCACAGAACCTGTTCCTAGAAAACACTCATAGCAGAGGCTGGGCCAAGCCACAGATGATACTCTGCATGGCCCAGAGAGCCTGGGATGTGTCTCCCCCCAAATGGAGCAATTGTGGGCTCTCACTCACAAGATACAGAGTTCAAATCCCAGCCAGGGTCAACTCCTAGCCCTTCCCCATTGTGAGAGTCATCAGTGTCATCATTCGGGTCGCCACCTGTTCGAGATTTTTATTTATTCACGGTAGCTGTCCTGAGACATTGGGGAGTCTTCCCCGCAGTATTATCTCGGCTGTGCTGTCAGCATTGTGTTGTGAAAATAAATATTTATTTGGAAATTGTCATGGAGCAAGTACAACCATGTGCTAGACAATGGCCCACGGAAGTGGAAATCACCGAACTACCTTGAAGTGACCTCTGGTCCACACACAGGAGGACAGCACATTCCCACTGAGAATGAGGTTCATTGCATGACAAGGTGACATTTTTACTCGCAGAGCTGCGAACGTATCCACATTAAGATACCGAACAAAGTTTCACGTGGACCTTTTTATTGTGCAGTCGCCGGTTTCTGAGTTGAGACCATCAACTCGTGATACTCGAGAGCCTGGTTTCATCACAACTCAATCTATGCGAGTCCATGGGTCCCTGCGTAAGTCTATGCATCATGAGTCCTTGGGTCTCTACGTAAGTCTGGTTGGTCCATGTGTCAAGTCATCGATGGCCAGGCTGAGACCATGAACTCACTACACTCGAGTACCCGGTTTCATCAGCAGTGGCAGCTGCCTGTAATCGGGCCCAGGATCTCAATCCGGTGGCGCTCTCACCTCCGACCTCCGAGCCCTCTCACGATCACCAACCTCCCGGCGTTAGGGTGGCGTCCACTCACCCACGGGGTCGCAGTTGCAGGGCAGGCAGGGGCCCGAGCCGTGCTGGCGGTAGAAGTTGTCGCGGCAGCGATCACAGAAAGGCCCCGCGGTGTTGTCGCGGCAGCCCGTGCAGTGGCCGCCGTTGCCCGTCGTCTGGTAGAGGGAGCGGTCGTAGTGGCACACGTTCGAGTGGCCGTTGCAGGCGCATGCTGCGGGCGGGTGGGAGAGACGGGCGGGAGACGTTACAAAAGCCCGGGTTCGCTACACACCACACACCTCCATCGACTGACTTTTGGGGGGTCAGACCGCGAGAGTTAAACGCGTGTCGTGCACCGTCCTCCACCGGACACAACCAACTCATGAAGTTGTCACGTGATGAACAAACGGAGGCAATTTATTTCCGCTTTAGCAGCAGCCACCACCGGTCGTGTTAAGCAGCATAATCATCACATCACTCCGGTCATCCGCACAGCAGCGGCTCTTGGCTGGCCACCGAACAAAGACGGTCAGCGCATCGCGCGGCGCTTTCAGATGCGCTTCTGCGGCCGTCTGGAACGCTCTTCCGATATTAGGAAGCCACTGGAGCTGTGCACTTTTAAATCATCATCTAGATTAAAAACTCGTTTCTTTAGAACTGCTTTTTGTGTTTAGTTTATTGTCCTTTGCACCTCCGATTTAGCAGGGTTCACTACGTACGGTGCAAAAGAAGTTCAACAGTGCATACATAAACATACGTTGTGTTGGAGAGAAATTCAAAACATTAAACGTGTTGTGGTTACATCCAGCAACATCATGCAGGTGCAAATTTATTACTGCCGAAGCAGTGATAAATTGGCACGTGTGGCGCTGGCCACACTACTCTCTCGTGCTCTGTGTGCTGTCATTAATAGGTGCTCGCTAACAAAACTGCATGGCTGTGACGAGATCCTTTACCTTCCTTGTATGTGTCTGTGTATGGGGGGTGTCTACGTGTTTGCGAGCGAGCGAATGTGCGTAAATGTGGGCGTGAGAGTTGTATTTTTTTTTTACTCGGTGAAAATAACCGAGTAAAAAAAAATGTTCCAGACTATTAAATGAACTCGAATAGAAAACACCACCTACACAGCGGTGGTTTAGGGGCGGGGGGAATTACTCCCAACAGATTTTCACAACCAAAATATCGTTTATAGTTTCAACTGGCGTAATCTGCCTCCCTCCCTCGTTATCGTGGATGTCATGCGAGCAAAATATGAAATTATCTTAAAAAGTCCACCGTCTAGCACTCGAGTGGGCAAACCACCGTCCCATGTGCCCTGGTGACGCAGTGGTTGATAAACGGATGAGTCTGTGCGACGGAAAAATATTAGAAGGGAAAAATCTGAGAATATCGTAAAAACATTTTAACGTTGAAAACAACAGGGTGAGCAAACGGGGCACTGCCCATGTTGTAACCCTTGCTTTGACGAAGTTTGAAATCGCGCTGGCTGGATGAGAGAGCCCTGACACGTACCATATTTCTCATCTGAATTTTGTTTGTGTGTTCAAGCGCTCCCATGCTCTCCGTGAATTGCGCCTGACAGAGGTGGACGTTGAGTGATCGATTGCTTGGCAGCTGCGTGGCCCACGGCTCTAGATGGCCGTGTCAGACACAACTAGGCCATCATCACACTCGGGAACCACGGGCAGCTTCGAGGGGCCAGAGGTAGCCCAAGCAAACAAAGCAAGAAACGTACTCTTAGTTTTTTCGGTAAAGTCACGTAGGTAAAAAATGAAATTAAAATCAATAAAAATAAAATAATAAAAATCACGACGTTTCGGAGGCAACACAAGTCTCCGTCATCAGGTGGGACCGTCACAGCCAGATTTGCTGTATAAAGTGAGGCAGGGATTCCAAGATGCAAGTTCTTAAATACAAGTTGAGGGGGAGGAGAGGGGGGGGGGGAGCTTATCAGAATGTGGTAGCCAATGAATGGAACGTATCGGGAGGGGGGGGGGGCTAAAATGGAGCACGAGGTGTACGTAGACGTGGACGTGTTTGTGCGCAAGCTCCTGTTGGTGCACATGATAACGTATTGGAAGGGGGGGGGGGGCTAAAAAGCAAGAAACGCTCAAGGCCGCCTTCGTCTCCCCATTGCTGACGATGTCGAACGCTACCACAAGCACGGGTTGATATTTTAGACGGAGCTGACCTCGAGAGAGAGACTCAGGGAAAGTTCATGCACCAAACCGCAATCTGGACCAGGTCACTCGAAATCTGTTGCTCGATGTGCTCAGTGCCAGAAGGGTGTATTAGCGAGCATCTTATCTGTGCATTGATAGTTCAATGTAAATGTGCCATTGTATTGAGGGATTAATGCTGTGTGGTGGTATCTTGATGTGGTCTGAGGCAATTGAGTTTTTATTGGTTTTGCTGCCTTGCCCAAGCCTGATCAAATCGGACTTGTAGAATTAATTAATTAATTCTCCTTTAATTATATTTAGTGACTCGCTTACCAATTCCCATATTTTTCACTGCCGTCGTTGTTAGTTGCATTGTTTGGTGTTGTAACTTTCTGTCCCCGTGATCAATACTGGACATCTGTGAAGAAAAAGCTTCACAGCTCATCGGATTCCCCCTCCCGCAGTCTCAATAAAAAAATATTCCGATTCTGATCTACTAAAGCCCAATTCGACACACGAGTGGAGAGTGAGACTCTCACAACACTCGCCACATCGTGTTCATCCCACCCCCTACAACTGCAGCAGGTAACGGTTACTAATTTCAGGATCAGCTGATCTAGGAGAGGCCAAGGCCAAATTCAAACATCAAGTGGCAGCTTTTCACACCGTGGATTGGATCGAGACCAGGGGGTCACAGAGACCTCAGCGTAGTGCCCTGAGCATGACGCTACCGCTCCGCACGCACAAACACACGCACAGGCACGCTCAGAGCGTACAAACACTGCGAGCCCTATGCCGTGCTCTTGATTACATGGAGCGCGCTTTCAGCTGGATCTCAACGGGTCAGCGATTTGGGAAATATTTCCGCACGGTCCACTTCTCGGTAATGGCCACGTGCCACCTACTCTGGTCTATCAGCGACCTGGGAAGTATTCGATGGCATCTTAAGCTCGACAACGACACGATGGCATCTTAAGCTCCACAACTACAAGCAACATTGCGGTACAACGGCACCGCCACACGCCCAGTTCTGTCGAGCTGGTGGGTTAGGCAAGGCTGAGAGCGGCGTACGTGCAAAGTGGTGGTGAGGCTTCAAGTTTATTTTGTTTAATGAGTCTCATTTGCAAGAGTGATCTGGGGCATGAGTCTACCAGGAGGGGATCGATGATTGGTGCTGTGTATGGTCTTGATTGAGCAACTTACGGTGCGGTTTTAAAACGTGGCAAATTTGATGCCGTGATGCGGGCACACGACGGCCTGCTTTGGCGAGTGTCATCAGGGGATCTTTAACGTTCACCATGCAGGAAACGGCGCGTAGAGTCATGACGGTTAGTGCACCCGCAGTATTAACCAGGGTGGCCGCTGGAATCGAACCGTGAACCTCTGCAACGAGCGGGCGAGTGCGCTACCGCTGGGCCACGTTGGTCACGTGATGGGATCTGTGTCTTCCTTGTGGTTAAATCTAACAACAAGCACACGCCAGACGCTCCTCCAACCGAGCGCGGTAAAACTTTTATGATACGACGTGGTGTGGGGAGGTCTACATCCAGCAGTGGATAGATAATGGGGTGTGATGTGATGATCATACGAGACTGGGCTATAGCAATGCCTCACTGCCAACTCACGGCCTCCTCTTTGCCAAAGCAGTGTCCAGACAAGTTGGAGCCTCAACAGACACTCCATTTTTGGCTCAGTAAAGTTGCCGAGGGAGTGAGTAAGAATTCCAACAAAGTATTTTAGGAACAGATAATAAAAATGCAAATACCCTCCCACACACACCCATACAATGACCACTCACTCAACTTTGACAAAGATCCCCCCGTGTAGCCTTAACAGACTGTTGGGGCAAGTGCTGTTAGCGATCAGCACCTATGAAGGCCGGCACGGCACACGAGGGGGTGGGTGGCCAGCACCACTCCCCGGCCGTCTTTGTCTCCCAAGTGGCAATGTTTACACATTGCACCATTCACTCGTTTAAGGCTGAGTCGACGTAGGGGAAGCCCAGGAACGTTTCAGAAAATCGTCACTGGTGTTGACCGTGAGAGGGGATGGAGTTCGGATTGCCGGGTTCGTAGCGCACCGCGCTAACCACTACACCACACAATGTACAACATGCACACAAGACACAGATAAAGATCCCCCATATAGCCTTAACAGACTGTAGGGGCAAGTGCTGTTAGGGAGCAGCTTTGAAGGCCGGAACGGTACACGAGGGGGTGGTTGGCCAACAACCACGCCCGACCGCCTTTGTCTCCCCAGTGGCGATGTTTACACACCAAACCAGGTACTCATTTGAGGCTGAGTCGACCTAGTGGAGGCCCAGGACCGGTTCAGATAATCGTCACTGGTGTTGACCGTGAGCGGGAATCGAACCTGGGTCGTCAGGTTCATAGTGCAGCGAGCTAACCGCTACACTACCGCTCCCACACACACACACGCACACACACAAGATGTGTATTTTTGGACAATAATCATGCGAAAGTTCTCACAGAACAACACCTGGAAGTTAAACCCTAAAGTCAACAACAGCTGAGGAGGTGCGATTCAAAAAAATACAAAACACAAAGCAAATCTCATGTTCAGTCCTTGATGAATGGATCAGAGATTAAAATCGATTAACTCATTTCCACACACGTGCAATCCCTGAAGACTTCACAGCTTTACAGCCCCACCCCTAAGCCAATCGAATCCACCCTAATTTGCAGGCTTTTCCACGCCATGTTGCTCACAAACACATTCCTGCGGAGGGAGCTGGTAGGAACGTTGGGTTGCTCGGTCAATGGCCAGGGTCAACGGCAGCGTGGTGTATTCGTCAAATATGCCCGACTGTGAGGGCGGGCACAAGCCGGCGTGAGTAGGTTAAACGTTGAGTTTTATAAGGGCACCACGGGGTGACCAACCCCTTCCACCCATCCCAACCCCTCCCACCCCCCACCCAACCCCACCCTCCCCACCCAGCCCCTCCCCACTCTCCCCACCCAGCCCATCCCCACCCTCCCCACCCAGCCCCTTCCCACACTCCCCTCCCCACCCAGCCCCTCCCCACCCAGCCCCTCCCCACCCAGCCCCT